AGGTCAGCCCCGGCAAAAGCAAACGCCTTCCTGCTGCACAGCCCTCCAGGTGCTCTGTTCTCTTGTTTGTCTCCCTTCTCTCTCCTCCTCTCCCTCCCCTCCCCTCCCCTCCCTCCCCTCCCCTCCTCCCTCTCCTCCCCTCCCCTATTCCCATCCTCCCCAAATCTCCCCTCCCCTCCTCTCCCCTCCCCTCCCTCCCCTCCCCTCCTCCTCTCCTCCCCAAATCTCCCCTCCCCTCCTCTCCCCTCCCCTCCCTCCCCTCTCCTCCTCCCTCTCCTCCCCTCCCCCATTCCCATCCTCATCTCCTCTCCCTCCCCTCCTCTCCCCTCCCCTCCCTCCCCTCTCCTCCTCCCTCTCCTCCCCTCCCCCATTCCCATCCTCATCCCCTCTCTCCTTCCCTCCCCTACCCTCCGCTCCCCTCCACTCCCCTCCCTCCCCTCCTCCCTCTCCTCCCCTCCCCCATTCCCATCCTCCCCTCCTCTCCCCTCCCCTCCCCTCCTCCCTCTCCTCCCTCCCCCATTCCCATCCTCCCCTCCCCTCCTCTCCCTTCCCTTCTCCTCCTCCTCTCCCTCCTCTCTCCCTTCCCTTCCTCTTTTCCCTTCCCTTCCCTCCCCGTCTCTTCCCTCCTTCCCTCCCCTCCCCTCTCTCCTCCCCTCCCCTATTCCCACCCTCACCTCCTCTCCCCTCCCCTCCCCTCCCTCTCCCCTTCCCTCCCCTTCCCTCCCCTCCCCTCCTCTCCCTTCCCTTCCTCTTTTCCCTTCCCTTCCCTCCCCGTCTCTTCCCTTCCCTTCCCTCCCCTCTCTCCTCCCCTCCCCTATTCCCACCCTCCCCTCCTCTTCCCTCCCCTCCCCTCCCCTCCTCTCCTTCCCTTCCTCTTTTCCCTTCCCTTCCCTCCCCTCCCCTCCCCTCCCCTCCCCTCCCCCTCTCCCTTCCCTTCCCTCCCTCCCCTCCTCTCCCTTCCCTTCCTCTTTTCCCTTCCCTTCCCTTCCCTCCCCTCCCCTCCTCTCCCTTCCCTTCCTCTTTTCCCTTCCCTTCCCTCCCTGTCTCTTCCCTTCCCTTCCCTCCCCTCCCCTCCCCTCCTCTCCCTTCCCTTCCTCTTTTCCCTTCCCTTCCCTCCCCTCCCCTCCCCTCCCTCCTCCTCTCCCTTCCCCTCGCCCTCCCCTCCTCTCCCTTCCCTTCCTCTTTTCCCTTCCCTTCCCTCCCCTCCCCTCCCCTCCCTCCTCTCCCTTCCCTTCCCTCCCCTCCCCTCCTCTCCCTTCCCTTCCTCTTTTCCCTTCCTTCCCTTCCCCTCCCCTCCCCTCCTCTCCCTTCCCTTCCTCTTTTCCCTTCGCCTTCCCTCCTGTCTTCTTCCCTTCCCTTCCCTCCCCTCCCTCCCCTCCTCTCCCTTCCCTTCCTCTTTTCCCTTCCTTCCCTCCCCTCCCTCCCCTCCCCTCCTCTCCTTCCTTCCCTCCCCTCCCTCCTCTCCCTTCCCTTCCTCTTTTCCTTCCCTTCCCTTCCCTCCCCTCCCCTCCTCTCCCTTCCCTTCCTCTTTCCCTTCCCTTCCCTCCCCGTCTCTTCCCTTCCCTTCCCTCCCCTCTCTCCTCCCCTCCCCTATTCCCACCCTCCCCTCCTCTTCCCTCCCTCCCCTCCCCTCCTCTCCCTTCCCTTCCTCTTTTCCCTTCCCTTCCCTCCCCTCCCCTCCCCTCCCTCCCCTCCCCTCCTCTCCTTCCCTTCCCTCCCCTCCCCTCCTCTCCCTTCCCTTCCTCTTTTCCTTCCCTTCCCTTCCCTCCCCTCCCCTCCTCTCCCTTCCCTTCCTCTTTTCCCTTCCCTTCCCTCCCTGTCTCTTCCCTTCCCTTCCCTCCCTCCCCCTCCCCTCCTCTCCCTTCCCTTCCTCTTTTCCCTTCCCTTCCCTCCCCTCCCCTCCCCTCCCCTCCTCTCCCTTCCCTTCCCTCCCCTCCCTCCTCTCCCTTCCCTTCCTCTTTTCCCTTCCCTTCCCTCCCCGTCCCTTCCCTTCCCTCCCCTCTCTCCTCCCTCCCCTATTCCCACCCTCCCTCCTCTCCCCTCCCCTCCCTCCCCTCCTCTCCCTTCCCTTCCTCTTTCCCTTCCCTTCCCTTCCCTCCCTGTCTCTTCCCTTCCTTCCCTCCCCTCCCCTCCCCTCCTCTCCCTTCCCTTCCTCTTTTCCCTTCCCTCCCCTTCCCTCCCCTCCCTCCCCTCCTCTCCCTTCCCTTCCTCTTTTCCCTTCCCTTCCCTCCCCTTCCCTCCCCTCCCCTCCCCTCCCCTCCTCTCCCTTCCCTTCCCTCCCCTCCCCTCCCCTTCCCTCCCCTCCCCTCCCCTCCTCTCCCTTCCCTTCCTCTTTTCCCTTCCCTTCCCTTCCCTCCCTGTCTCTTCCCTTCCCTTCCCTCCCCTCCCCTCCCCTCCTCTCCCTTCCCTTCCTCTTTTCCCTTCCCTTCCCTCCCCTTCCCTCCCCTCCCTCCCCTCCCCTCCTCTCCCTTCCCTTCCTCCCCTCCCCCTCCTCTCCCCTCCCCTCCCCTCCCTTCCCTCTTTTCCCTTCCTTCCCTTCCCTCCCCTCCCCTCCCCGCCCCTGACTTCCTCCTCCTGCACACTGGAGATGGGGGCTCTCCTCTCTCTCCCCCTCAGTGCTCTCACCTGAGCCGTGGCGATAAGAATAGCCGGGTTTTCACGGGCCAGGAAGCAGGGAGGAGTGCGCCCAGTGACCCGGCTCGCTGACCCACAGCCACCTCTGCAAAAGGAGAAGCTGAGGGCGGCGAGTGCGCAGAAGGAACGTCTCTCAGCTCAGACACCTCGCCGAGGCCGGGCCCTGCCGTCTCCGGCCGACTCCGTCCCTGGCCCAGCGCCCACGGCAGACACCCGCCGGGAACCCAGGTAAGGTGCGTGGGTGGAGGGGTCTGAGTGTGTGTGACTGTGTGTGTGTATATGTTGTGTGAGTGTGTTTAAGTGTGTATGTGTTGTGCGAGTGTGTGTGAGCGTGTGTGTTTATATGACTGTTTGAGTGTGAGTATGTGCGTGTATGAGTGTGTGTGTGAGCGTGTGTGTATGTGAGTGTGTGTGTGTGACTGGTGGGACATAGGAGGCATAGTTCCTCAAGAAACTACCTCGCCAGGGGTTGGTGGGGTGCTGAAGCAACCGTATAGCTGGGAGGGGGCTTGCCTTGCACACGGCTAGCCCGAGTTCAATCCCCAGCATGCCATAGGGTCCCCTGAGCACCACCGGGAGCCATTCCTGAGCGCAGAGCCAGGAGTCACCAACCCCTGAGCATCGCCAGGTATGACCGAAAAAGGAAAAAAGGAAACTCCCCAGTTAATCTACTTTTGGTTTGGGGGCCAGACAAGCAGCATTGCTCGAGAACTATTTCCAGGACCAAGAGATATCACAGGGACTAAAACTAGTTTTGCAAGCAGCTGACCCGGGATTGATCCTGGCACCCCATAGGGTCCCCCTGAGCCCAGCCAGGAGGGACCCCTGAGCACAGAGCCAGGAGTAAGCCTGGAGCATGGTTGGGTGTGACCCAAAACTTAAAAAATATAAAATGAAAGAAAGAGAGAAAAAAAGGGAGAACAGAAGGAAGGGAGGGAGGGAGGGAGGAAGAAAGGGAAGGGAGGGAATGAGGAAGAAAGGAAGGAAGGAAGGAAAGAAAGAAAGAAAGAAAGAAAGAGAGAAAGAAGAGAGAGAAAAAAAGAACAGAAGGAAGAGAGGGAGAGAGGGAGGGAGGGAGGAAGAAAGGGAAGGGAGGGAATGAGAAAGAAAGGAAGGAAAGAAAGAAAGAAAGAAAGAAAGAAAGAAAGAAAGAAAGAAAGAGAGAAAGAGAGAAAAAAAGAACAGAAGGAAGAGAGGGAGAGAGGGAGGGAGGGAGGAAGAAAGGGAAGGGAGGGAATGAGGAAGAAAGGAAGGAAAGAAAGAAAGAAAGAAAGAAAGAGAGAGAGAGAGAGAGAAAGAAAGAAAGAAAGAAAGAAAGAAAGAAAGAAAGAGAAAGAAAGAAAGAAAGAAAGAAAGAGAGAAAGAAAGAGAGAGATTGGAATGATGGATAGCAGGTAGGGTGTTTGCCTGTATGTGGCCAACCCAGGTTCAATCTCCAGCATCCATAGGGTTCCCCCGAGCACCTCCAGGAGTAATTCCTGAGTGCTCAGTCAGGAGTAACCCCTGAATATTGCTGGGTATGACCCAAAAACAGGAAGGAAGGAAGGAAGGAAGGAAGGAAGGGAGGGAGGAGGGAGGGAGGGAGGGAGGGAGGGAGGGAGGGAGGGAGGAAGAGAGAGAAAGAAAGAAAGAAAGAAAGAAAGAAAGAAAGAAAGAAAGAAAGAAAGAAGAAAGAAAGAGGGGGCTGGAGCGACAGCACAGCAGGTAGGGCATTTGCCTTGCACGCGGCCGACCCAGGTTCGATTCCCAGCATCCCATATGGTCCCCTGAGCACCGCCAGGGGTAATTCCTGAGTGCAGAGCCAGGAGGAACCCCTGAGCATTGCTGGGTGTGACCCAAAAAAAGGAAAAAAAAGAAAGAAAGAGAAAGAGGAAGGAAGAAAGAAAGGAAAGTGGTTTGGGTGGCAAGTCACAAAAGCTGTGGGTAGACAGAGGTGGGTCCTGCACGAGGCCCAGTCACAAACCCCTCCCCGCACTACACACAACACACACACTGCCCAGACCATAAAGGGGTCCCTAGCCCCCCTACCACACTGAAGGCTCTGTCACCTACCAAGATCACACAGCCATGTGTTTGAGTGCATGTCAGGGACCTTGGGGTGCCGACCTTGGTTGGGTCTCCAGTCCGTGACCCGGTCCCCAGCTTCCCTTTGGGGTTGAATGTCACCTTGGCTCCAGGAGGCAATGACATGCCATCCACCGGTGGGGAGGAGGGCATCCCTGAGCTCTTCAAGACCCTGTACCCGAAGTCTCACATTTCACCCCAAACCCTCTTCAAAGCCCAGATCTCAGAGCTGCACGCTGCGGACGGAACACCTTGGCAGGTAGTGAGCTGCCCGCCGCTGGGAGCAACCAAGTGGGGCTGCCATGGATGATAACTCATACTCGGGTGAGTGGATTCTCTGATGCCCACGGGGCAAAGGTCACAGGCAGGTCTTCCCTTCCCCCCCCCGCCCCCAGTGGAGAAGGGAGGGACTCCCCCATGTCTTTGTTTGGAAAGAAGAATGAATTTCTAGGAAAAGCTGGAGCGAGTGGGAAGGGCGGGGAGCCCACACTGGTCTTCCTGGCTCAGCGCCTGGCAGGGGAGGAAAGCCAACGGGTTCCTCCCTCTCTGACTCAACTCAGCCCCCCCAAAAGGCGGCTCCGGCTGGGGCGCTGGAGGCTGGATGAGTCTGCAGTTCCCTTGAAGGAGGCTCAGAAGCAGTGGGGTTCAACAGGATGGAGTGTGGCTCCCAGCAAGAAGGAAGGGACCCCCCGGTCTTGGGCAGGGAGCAAGGTAGACTTTGGGGGACAGGGGTTGCGTGGGTTAGGGGAAGAAATGGGTTTCAATGCTTATTTTTTTTTGCTGTTTCGGTCACACCCGGCGATGCACAGGGGTTCCTCCTGGCTCTGCGCTCAGGAATTACCCCTGGCGGTGCTCAGGGGACCCTACGGGAGGCTGGGAATCGAACCCGGGTCGGCCACGTGCAAGGCAAACGCCCTCCCCGCTGTGCTATCGCTCCAACCCCTTCTTCTGGTACTTTTTTTTTCTTCTTTTTGGATCACACCCGGCGATGCTCAGGGGTTACTCCTGGCTCTGCACTCAGGAATTACTCCTGGTGGTGCTCAGGGGACTCTATGGGATGCTGGGAATCGAACCCGGGTCAGTTGCGTGCAAGGTAAACCTTCTGTGCTATCGCTTCAGCCCCATGGGTTGCAATGCTTTGCATGTGGGAAGCCTGAGTTCAATCCCCTGTACCGTATGGTCCCTGAGCACTGCCAGGGGTGACTCCTAAGCTCTGAGCCAGGAATCACCCCTGAGCACTGCCCGGTGGGGCTGGAGAGAAAGCACGGGGCTTGCCTGTGGCTGACCCCTAGCTCCATCCGGGCCCTGCTCTCCGATGCACAGCCAGGATTCCCCACACCCTCCCACCCCGCCCTGTAGCCTCGGCCGCTAGCCTTGAACGGCCGCCTCAGCTGATCAAGAATCTCTGAGGATGACGGGGGTGGTGGGGGGGGGGAGCACCGGGTCTTTTGAGCACTGCTTGGGAAGGTCTAAAAGAAAAAAAAAAAGAACACGACGGGAGATGCAGGATAGCACAGCACAGAGAAAAACTGACACCTGGAGTTTTGTGTGCAGGGAAGGGGCGTTTGAGGAGGGTCCTGGGGTAGGGACTGTGGCCATCACCAGAGCACCAGCAGAGTGCCGGACAGTGGCAGAGACAGACCCAGCTGCTCGGGCTCCCTGCCACTCCGGGACCTGCATGCAGGAGGGGGGTGCGGGGAGGCCAGGGGAGGGACTCTGGGGGGTCCACTGGGAGCCACGCACCCTCATCGCAGGGACCCCAAGTCAAGATCCCAGGGTGAACGAAGGTGGGTCGCGATTCTGGGGGATAGGAAAAATCAGAGTCTGGGAGCACCCGGCACCCTCCGTTCTCCCCACAGAGGTTCCTGTAGAATATTCCAGAAGGCAGAAGTCGTGTTGCAGAAGGCAGGGGCTGAAGCTGGTGCTCTTGGGGCTGCTGATGGCTTCCTTCTGCGCCGGACTACTGACTGTCCTCCTCTTGTGGCGTAAGGACACCCCCAGCCCCAGGGAGCCCCATCCTGGGTGTCCCCCCAAAAACCCAGACCCTCACTCAAAGCCCAGGCTGTTCTCCTGCCCTGCCTCCCCTAGCTCCTTCCTGTGCCTTGCACCCCACCTGGCAGCCCTTCTGCCACCCTTTGGGTACCTCCTGAAGGGTCAGTCCAATCGCTGTCCCCCTAGGGGCTAGGGAGGGGGTGCTGGTGACCTGAGACCCCCACCTCTCCCTCCCCTCCGTCTGCTCCCCAGACTGGGACGCGGTGCAGTCCATGAAGCAGCTGGAGGAAACGGCTGCCCGCAACGGTAGGAAAACGGGGGGGGGGGGGGGCGTGGGTGTGGGTGGACGGGGGGGGGGAGGGGACGCTAAGGAGGGGACGCCTCTTGTCCTGCTTGTGCAGCTGAAACACGCCGGACAGGGGAGAGGGACCAGGGTCCAGAGTCCCCCCCCCAAGAACTGAGGGTACACTGGAATCCCCCCACCCCCAGCCAGGAGCCCTTAGTGACTCTCAAGAGGGAGGGAGACTCTAGAATGTTCTGGATAGGGGCTGGAGCTGATAGCACAGCGGGTAGGGCGTTTGCCTTGCACGCGGCTGACCCGGGTTCGATTCCCAGCATCCCATAGGGTCCCCTGAGTGCCGCCAGGAGTGACTCCTGAGTGCATGAGCCAGGAGGAACCCCTGAGCATCGCCAGGTGTGACCCAAAAAGCAAAAAAAGAAAAAATAGAATGTTCTGGATAGCCTTGGAGCCCACCCCCACCCCACCCCCCACCGCAGAATGGACATACTTCCTAACTTCCAGGTGGAAACTTGGGAGCAGCCCCAAGGATGCCCGGGAGCTTGGGATCCAATCCCGCTGTTCTTAGAGGATTTGGGGGGTGCGCTGAAGGTCCGGCACTGGGGGCTGGAGCGATAGTACAGCGGGGAGGGCATTTTCCTAGCACACGGCCGACCTGGGTTCGATTCCCGGCATCCCATAGGGTCCCCTGAGCACCGCCAGGAGTAATTCCTGAGTGCAGAGCCAGGAGTAACTCCTGTGCATTGCCACCAGGTATGACCCAAAAAAGAAAAAAAAAGAAAGAAAGAAAAAAAAAAAGAAAAGAAAAGGAAGGTTTGGCACTTTGCTGAGCATCTATGGCCCGACCCCAAATAAAAGCACAGAAGGGCAGAGACCTGGGGTGGGGGCTCAAGGGTGGGACTTCAAGTGGAGGCGAGGCAGGGGGCGTGGTATCAAGACCCCGCCCCTCTCACCCCACCCCAGTCTCCCAGCTTTCCCAGGTCTTGGCAAGCCACAAGGACCAGCAGATGACCCAACAATCCCAGGGTGAGTGACCATGGGCAGTGAGGAGAGAAGTTGGGGGCACCTGGCGAACCTGGGGACACCAGCGCCCTCGACCCTTCACACCTCCCACCTGTCCAGAGACTCTGGGGGGGAGGCCACGGCCGCAGAGGGGGTGTCCTAAATCCTTGCTAATACTGACATACCCCGACCGCCCCCCCCCAAAACCAGCTGCCCAGATGTTGCAGAATATGGAGAAAATCGTGACTGAGCAGAAGACCCTGAAACACCAGGGTGAGCAAGACAGCGGGTGCTTTGCAACAAGGCTGACCCGGGTTGGATATCCCATAGGGTCCCCCCCAAGCACGACCTGGAGTAATTCCTGAGCACAGACCCCCTGAGCACGCCAGATATGACTCCGAAACAAACAAAAAATATCAGAATGTGGGGCTGGAGCAATAGCACAGCGGAGAGGGCGTTTGCCTTGCACGCAGCCGACCCGGGTTCGATTCCCGGCATCCCATGTGGTCCCCGGAGCACCGCCAGGGGTAATTCCTGAGTGCATGAGCCAGGAGTAACCCCTGAGCATCGCCAGTGTGACCTTCAAATTAAAGATAGGGGCTGGAGCAATAGCACAGCGGGGAGAGCATTTTTGCCTTGCACGCGGCCGACCCGGGTTCGAATCCCAGCATCCCATAGGGTCCCCTGAGCACCGCCAGGAGTGATTCCTGAGTGCATGAGCCAGGAGTAAGCCCTGTGCATTATTGTCGGGTGTGACCCAAAAAGCAAAAAAAAAAAAAAAATCAGGGCGGGGGGGGCGGGGGCGTCACTCTTGATCTCGACCCCCCACCTCGCGCCCACGTGCAGAATTTCAGTTCTCGCGGAACCTGGACGGAGTCCAAGAGGATCTGGTCAATCTCAAGTCCGCGGGTGAGTCTGAAGGCGGGAGAGGGCGGAGGAGGGCGGGGGGGGGGGGGGGCGCGGGCGCTGGACGGCGGGTGACGCGGCCCCCACCCCCACCCCCACCCCCGCCCCCACCCCAGCCTTGAACGAGATGTACAGTGTCTGGAACCGCATGGAGAAGCTCCAGGAGGAAGTGGAGAAGCTGTGGTTAGAGCTGCATCTGTCCAACGGTGGGTGCGCGTGACGCCCCTCCCGCTCCGCCCCCCCCCCGCCCCCCACTGCCTGGGCTGACCCGGGGTGCGGGTACTCCTCTGAGCACTGCGCGTGTGCGCGCCTGCAGGTAGCAGGGAGCGTTGTAGTTCCCAGACGTGGCCACCAGAGGGCGCCCGGCATCGCCCTTTCCGAACCTCATGGCCACCTAGGGTGGGTCACCTGGGGGGGACTGGTGGGACCTCCCCGCCCCCACCCCCGCCTTTCTTTTTATTGTTTGGTGGGGTGGGGGCACACCCGGCCGTACTCAGGCTCTGCACTCACATATTGCTCCTGGCAGTGCTCGGGAGTCCTTATGGGATACTGGGGATCGAACCCGGGGTCAGCCGTGTGGAAGTCAAACACCCTCCCCGCTGCACCCCTATACCATCACTCCGGCCCCGGGGTGGGGTGGGGGGGGGACTCCCTTCCTATGGAGAACTTCTGGCAGGGCTCCTGCTTGGAGGTGCTCAAAGCTGGGTAGTGTTTGTGGGGATGGGAAAGGGGGGGGGGGGATGGAGGAATCGAACCCAGGGTCTTCCACGTGGCAGGATTGTGCTCTTACCCCTTAAACTCCATCCCGGGGCGGGGGGTCCCGCCTGGCCATTCTCCTCTGCAGCTCAGTGGAGGATCAGCCCTGACCACAGTCTGCTCCCAGGACTGACCCAGCCCGGGGGAGCAGGGGGTCATGATGATGGAGGGGGGAGGGGACCATCTTTTTTTTTCTTTGCTTTTTGGGTCACACCCGGCGATGCACAGGGGTTCCTCCTGGCTCTGCACTCAGGAGTTACTCCTGGCGGTGCTCAGGGGACCATATGGGATGCTGGGAATCGAACCCGGGTCAGCTGCGTGCAAGGCAAACGCCCTACCCGCTGTGCTATCGCTCCAGCCCCCGGAGGGGACCATCTTGGTCTCTAACTGGGAGGGGGCTGGGTCACTGCCCAGAAGTTCAACCCACCCCACCCTGCGCGGTTGTTCCCACCCCACCACCACTGGGAAACCCCTAATGCCTCTTGGGGCAGAGATGAGGACGGATTTCTGCTTGGGGGGGATGGGAGTGCTGTCCCCTGGGACATGGTGGGCCAGTGGGGATCCCAGGGAGAAATTCCATCGGGGTGTCCACTTGGGGGACGGAAGCAGCGGGTGAAGGGTCTGAACATCGATGGCTGTGTGCAAACTCCTGATTCCAGCCAGGGGACCCAGATCCAAGGCACCTCTCCCTGCCCCGCTCTTTCAAAATGTTTGTGAGGAGACAAAGAAATAGTACATGGTGGGGGCTGGAGTGATAGCACAGCGGGTAGGGCGTTTGCCTTGCATGTGGACGACCCGGGTTCGGTTCCCAGCATCCCATATGGTCCCCTGAGCACGGCCAGGAGTAATTCCTGAGTGCAGAGCCAGGAGTAACCCCTGTGCATCACCGGGTGCGACCCATAAAACAAAAAAAACAGGGGGGGGGGGAGCTGGAGTGATAGCACAGTGGGTAGGGCATTTGCCTTGCACACGGCCAACCCGGGTTCGATTCCCAGCATCCCACAGGGTCCCCTGGGCACCACCAGGAGTAATTCCTGAGTGCAGAGACAGGAGTGACCCCTGTGCATCGCCAGGTGTGACCCAAAAAGCAAAAAAAAAAAAAAAAAAAGTGGGTTGGATTGAGAGTCCAGAGGGGAGGGCGTTTGTCCTGCTCATGGCTGCTGACCAGGGTTCAGTCCTCAGCACCACTAGGAATGATCCCCAAGCACAGATGGGTGTGCAACACCCCCCCCAAACCCCCCAAAAAGGAAAGGAAATTGCAGGGGTCAGGGAGATGACTCAAAGATCTAAGCATAGTTTTTTTAATGCTGGAGAATAAGGTTTGATCCCTGAGCACTGAGACAGGAGTGGACCTTGAGCACTGCCGGGTGTGCCCCGTGCCCAGCCCCCCCAATAAATGGGGGGTCTACATCTGTGTAGACACCATGGGAGTGAGCTCTGGCCTGGACATACTGGAGGCTGTGGTGCTGGCTGAACTGGGGGTGACAGAACGGAGGCCAAGACAGTCCCATGTTAAGGCTGGAGCCATAGCACAGCGGGGAGGGCATTTGCCTTGCATGCAGCCAACCCGGGTTCGATTCCCAGCATCCCATAGGGTCCCCTGAGCACCGCCAGGAGTAATTCCTGAGTGCATGAGCCAGGAGTGACCCAAAATGCAAAAAAAAAAAAAGAGAAATATTAAAAAAACACTACAAGGGCTGGAGCGATAGCACAGCGGGGAGGGCATTTGCCTTGCACGCAGCCAACCCGGGTTCGATTCCCAGTGTCGCACATGGTCCCCCAAGCACCGCCAGGAGTAATTCCTGAGTGCATGAGCCAGGAGTAACCCCTGAGCATCGCCGGGTGTGACCCCAAAAGCAAAAAAAAAAAAAGGCAGTCCCATGTTGAGACCCCTGGGACCCAGCCTCCAGTCCCCTGCCTTGTGTGTGATTCCCAAGAAGATCCTCCCCAATTCCCAAGAAAGTGGCCCTGGGTGCTGGCCCCAGGGGTGGGGTGGGAGAAGTGGACAGCACTTGGGGCTGGGGAAAGGGGTGTGAGCAGTCTGGCATGGCCGTCCACACCCTCCACTGCCCTGTGGCTGGGATGCCATTGGGGGTGGGGTGAGAGGGGGTGCGGGCAGCGGTGGGCACCCCCTCTAAGGATGTTGGTGGTGATGGAAGGGGGTGTGCCCGGGTCCTTGGGAGTGTGGGCGCTGCTGGCCATTGAGCAAGTGATGAGAGGATGTTGGGTGGGACCCGGCTGGTGATTCTGGGGGGGGCGGGGAGCAGTGGGCATGCCTGGGGGGTGCTTATACGGAGGTCCTGGAGGGGGAAGCACTGATCCAGGCAAGAGAGCCAAGAAGGGGACCCAGGTGGCCCAGAGAGACGGGACAGCAGGGAAAGCGCCACCTCGCACTGCCCAGGTGCCCCCAACCCGACCCCACAGAGCCAGGGCTAGCCCCCAGCATCGCTGGCCGTGGCCCAACTGTTCTGCCCCAGAGGAAGGGGATGCCCGTGTTCACCTGGGGCTGGATGTGCTGGAGCCCCAGAGAGACACACCCCCCTGAGCCCCTCAATCCCCACTCCCACCCCCCAGGCTCCCAGTGCAACACGTGCCCAGAGGACTGGGTCAACTTCGGCCGGAAGTGCTACTACTTCGGCCAGGGCACCCCCAAGAAGTGGCTGCAGGCGCGGAACGCGTGTCGCGCCCTGCAGGGGCAGCTGGTCAGCATCCACAGCCAGGAGGAGCAGGTGGGTGCGGCCCCGTGGGGGGAGACCCCGGGGGGCCGCGGCTTCCCATTTGGGGGCCACCCTCCAACCCACGTGATGCTCAGGACTGGCTCCCGGCTCTGCTCCCTGGAGTCTCTCCTGGCCGGGCTGGGGGCGGTGGGTGGGGGTGGATGCCAGGCGGGGGGGATCAAACCCACTGGAGGCACCCAAGAGCCCTCCCGGTGCCCCCCCAGGACTTCCTAACCCAGCATGGCAGTAAATTTGGGACCTGGATCGGCCTCCGGGACCTGGACTTGGAGGGGCAGTTTATCTGGATGGACGAGAACCCCTTGAACTATAAGTGAGTGGGAGCAGAGTGGGGACCCTGTGTGGTCAGGGGAGGCTGTGTGGAGGGACCCACGAGCACCCCAACCCCATCTGGGCTTGGTGAGCTTCAGGGTGGTCAGTGAGGAGGCCGGTGGGGTTTGGGGTGCGGGCCCAGAGGGGGCGAGGCCGCGGGCTGGAGGGTGGGGATCCAGGGTCCTGGATTAGGCAGGAGGGTGTGTGTGTACGGGGGGGTCCCTCCGGCCTGATGGAAGCTGCCCTGCCTCGTTCCAGCAACTGGGGCCCTGGGGAGCCCAACAACCAGGAGCCCAGCGAGGACTGCGTGGTGATGGAACACTCGGGGAAGTGGAACGACATGGACTGCCTTGGCCGGCTGGACAGCTGGGTGTGCGACAGGCTGGCCACCTGCTGACCCGCCCCCAAAGGCCCCCTCGCCCCAGTTTCCAGGGAGTCCCGGGAGCCCGGGATGGGGTGGGCGAGAACCCGAGGGGATGTGCCTCTCCCACCCGCTCTGTCTCCCCAAGAACCCTCCTCAGAACTCGGAACATTGGGGTCTCCCTTCCCACCCCCCCAAACCTACTCTGTATGACCGGGGCCCCGCCCTTCCCGCCTCTGTCTTGGTGTAACCGTGGGGGGGGCGCACCCCAGACTCTTCCCCACCTGCATACTCTGGGCTGGCAGAGACCACCTCCCCAGTACCCTCACCCCATCTCTCCCACTGCCCGTCTCCCCCAGGACCCCCTGCGCCCACCCTCACGGGTCCATCTCCTCCCTGCTGGCTCTTGAAGGACAGTGGGCTTGGAGTAAGCTCCCAGGGCCCTGTGAGACTTGGCATGGGGGACCCCCGGGTTCTAGCCCCCAGACCGCACAGTCCTACAGCCAAGCCCTCTGAGCATGCCCAGTGTGCTCCCAAGTGCCAACACACACACACACACACACACACACACACACACACACACACACACACAAATTAAACCTGAAAGAGCTTCCTTTTCCTCTCTGGGGTATGCATACTTTAATACGCCACCACCTACGGCGTGGTCAACCTCTGGTCTGCAGCAGGCGTTGAGACTAACGGGACCACATCCAGTAGGGCAGGGAGGCCGGAAGGGGCCGTCAGGGTGGGGAAAAAAAGGGGAGAAACCCCAGGTAAAGGATTCTCAACAATGCGGCCAGAGCAGTGGCTGGTAGGTACAGCGGTGAGAGCACTCGCCTTGCATTCGGCCGTACCCGGGTTCCATCCCTGGCAACCCTCAGTGCAGAGCCAGGAGGAAGCCCAGAGCATCGCCGGGTGTGACTCAAAACATGAAAAAAAAAAATCGTAGGACACCATCTCTAGTCCCCAGACACAACCAACCTCAGTGTTCCAGAAGCTTCCCACCTTCTCCCTGCTCCAGCAGCTTCCTATCGCTTGTTCACGTCTCCACTGCCACTAGACGGCACCCCCATTCCATCCCTAACACCAGAGGAGGGGCTGGAGCGATAGTACAGCGGGTAGGGCGTCTTTGCCTTGCACGCGGCCGCCCCGGGTTCGATTCCCTGCATCCCATATGGTCCCCCGAGCACCGCCAGGAGCAATTCCTGAGTGCATGAGCCAGGAGTAACCCCTGTGCATCGCCGGGTGTGACCCAAAAAGCAAATAAATAAATAAATAAAACCAGACAAAACTGTGACCCAACTTGGGTCAGACCCCATTGCAGGGTCCCCAACTTCCTCCAAGGTGCTGGCAAGTACAACTGGGACTGCAGGATGGATGTGGGTGCTGAGTGCGTGACCACCCAGCCCGTCCCACCCCCAAACATACACACACACACTGGGGGCTGGAGCCGTAGCACAGCGGGTAGGGTGTTTTTGCCTTGCATGCGGCCGACGCGGGTTCGATTCCCGGCATCCCATGGGTCCCCTGAGCCACCGCCAGGAGTAATTCCTGAGTGCAGAGCCAGGAGGAACCCCTGAGCATTGCCAGGTATGACCCAAAAAGCAAAGAAAAAAAAAGTTGCATATAAGGGTGGGGAAATAATACAGAGGGGCAGGACGTCTGCCAGACTCACAGCTGACCTGGATTCAATTTTCAGCATCCCTTAGGGTCCTCCAAGTCCCGCCAGGAGTGGTCCCTGAGCACAGAGCTAGGAGTAAGCCTTGAGCACCGCAAGATATGTCACCCAAAAAAAATAAATAAAACAGGGGTTGGAGCGACAGCACAGCAGGTAGGGCGCTTGGCTTGCACGCGGCCGACCCGGGTTCGATTCCCAGCATCCCATAGGGTTCCCTGAGCGATAGCACAGCAGGTAGGGCGTTTGGCTTGCATGCGGTCGACCCGGATTCGATTCCCAGCATCCCATAGGGTCCCCTGAGCGATAGCACAGCAGGTAGGGCGTTTGGCTTGCACGTGGCCGACCCGGGTTTGATTCCCAGCATCCCATAGGGTCCCCTGAGCGATAGCACAGCAGGTAGGGCGTTTGGCTTGCACGCGGCCGACCCGGGTTCGATTCCCAGCATCCCATAGGGTCCCCTGAGCGATAGCACAGCAGGTGGGGCGTTTGGCTTGCACGCGGCCGACCCGGGTTCGATTCCCAGCATCCCATAGGGTCCCCTGAGCGATAGCACAGCAGGTGGGGCGTTTGGCTTGCACGCGGCCGACCCGGGTTCGATTCCCAGCATCCCATAGGGTCCCCTGAGCGATAGCACAGCAGGTGGGGCGTTTGGCTTGCACGCGGCCGACCCGGGTTCGATTCCCAGCATCCCATAGGGTCCCCTGAGCGATAGCACAGCAGGTGGGGCGTTTGGCTTGCACGCGGCCGACCCGGGTTCGATTCCCAGCATCCCATAGGGTCCCCTGAGCGATAGCACAGCAGGTAGGGCATTTGGCTTGCACGCAGCCGACCCGGGTTCGATTCCCAGCATCCCATAGGGTCCCCTGAGCGATAGCACAGCAGGTAGGGCGTTTGGCTTGCACGCGGCCGACCCGGGTTCGATCCCCAGCATCCCATAGGGTCCCCTGGGCACCGCCGGGAGTCATTCCTGAGCCGGGAGTAACCCCTGAGCATCGCCGGGTGTGACCCAAAAACCAAAAAAAAACACCAAACACACACACAGACACAGAGCGCATTGCGCCAGGGCGCAGCAGCGGGGCCGGCCGGCCTTTATCTCCCGCGCTCAGCTCAGCGGCCCTCCAGGGCCCGGTCGCGCGCGATGACCGCCTCCTCGAACTTGATCATGAGCGTGGTGCCCTTGTGCCAGTGCGCCGTGACCTTGGCCGGGAAGCCGCTGTGCGTGAGCACCGCCTCCACGATGCCCGCCGTGAAGCTGGCGCAGTTGAGCGTGCTGTTCTCCTTGGGCACCGAGATGTAGGTGTTGATGAGGGGCTCGCGCTCGATGATGTAGAAGGTCCGCGCGTCGTCGTTGGCCTGCTCCAGCTTGTCGGCCTCCTTGCCGAACAGCGCCTTCCACACGGCGCCCTTGACGAAGAGCAGCGCGCCCAGCACCTTGGTCTCCCGCCGCGCGCCCTTCTCGCGCGCCACCAGCGCGTCCAGCACGCGCGCGCCCACCTGGCGGCCCAGCGCGGCCAGGCGCGCCTGCAGCTCGGCCACCGAGAACACGCGGCTCTGGCAGTGCTGGACCAGCTCCGAGAAGAGCAGGGCGAAGGCGCTCAGGCTGACCTCGGTGCGCGGCCGGGCCAGCGCGCGCTCCAGCAGCGCCGACTTCCCGCGCGTAAAGCGCGCCTCCATGCCGCCGCCGCCCTGCGGGGAGAGGGGCGGGCGCTGGGTGGGTGGGGGTGGGGGTCGGGGGGGTCGGGAGACGAGGGGAAAGCCAGCCACCCTCCCCCCCTCCCCGGCCTCTCCCCCAGCCCCTCCATCCCCACCAGGAAGCGGCTCTCCATCACTCCTCCCAGGTGGGAGGGATGCTCTTAACTGGGGATGCGTGCAGTGGACCACCGGGTTCAAGGACCCCATGGGATCCCCCTTCCCCAGCAGGAGTGACCCCTGAGAGCAGAGCCAAGAATAAGCCCTGATGAGGCCGGAGCGATAGCACAGCGGGGAGGGCGTTTGGCTTGCAGGCGTCAGACCCGGGTTCGATTCCCAGCATCCCATATGGACCCCCTGGCACCACCAGGAGTGACCCCTGAGAGCAGAGCCAAGAATAAGCCCTGATGAGGCCGGAGCGATAGCACAGCGGGGAGGGCGTTTGGCTTGCAGGCGTCAGACCCGGGTTCGATTCCCAGCATCCCACATGGTCCCCCCTGGCACCGCCAGGAGTGACCCCTGAGAGTAGAGCCAAGAATAAGCCGTGATGAGGCTGGAGCGATACCACAGCGGGGAGGGCGTTTGGCTTGCAGGAGTCAGACCCGGGTTCGATTCCCAGCATCGCATATGGACCCCCTGGCACCACCAGGAGTGACCCCTGAGAGTAGAGCCAAGAATAAGCCCTGATGAGGCCGGAGCGATAGCACAGCGGGGAGGGCGTTTGGCTTGCAGGAGTCAGACCCGGGTTCGATTCCCAGCATCCCATATGGTCCCCCCTGGCACCACCAGGAGTGACCCCTGAGAGCAGAGCCAAGAATAAGCCCTGATGAGGCTGGAGCGATAGCACAGCGGGGAGGGCGTTTGGCTTGCAGGCATCAGACCCGGGTTCGATTCCCAGCATCCCATATGGTCCCCCCTGGCACCACCAGGAGTGACCCCTGAGAGTAGAGCCAAGAATAAGCCCAGATGAGGCTGGAGCGATAGCACAGCGGGGAGGGCGTTTGGCTTGCAGGAGTCAGACCCGGGTTCGATTCCTAGCATCCCATATGGTCCCCCCTGGCACCACCAGGAGTGACCCCTGAGAGCAGAGCCAAGAATAAGCCCTGATGAGGCCGGAGCGATAGCACAGCGGGGAGGGCGTTTGGCTTGCAGGCGTGAGACCCGGGTTCGATTCCCAGCATCCCATATGGTCCCCCAAGCACCGCCAGGAGTAATTTCTTAATTCCTGAGTGCAGAGCCAGGAGGAACCCCTGAGCGTTGCTGGGTGTGACCCAAAAAGGAAAAAAAAAAAGAAAGAAAGAAAGAAAGAAAAAGAATAAGCCCTGAGGTTGGAGCGATAGTACAGTGAGGAGGGCGTTTGCCTTAAACGCGGCCAACCCGGGTTCGATTCCCAGCATTCCATAGGGTCCCCGAGCACCACTGGGAGTGATTTCTGAGTAGCAGAGCCAGGAGTAAACCCTGAGAATTGCCAGGTATGACCCAAAAAGCCAAAAAAAAAAAAAAAAAGAATAAGCCCTGAACATAGCTGGGTGTGGCCCAAAAGACAATTCTCCCCATCCCAACCCCCCCCCAAAAAAAGAAAATGACAAGCTGGGGCCAGATACATGGTCCAGCAGGGATGGCATTTGCTTTGGGCACGGCCCACCCGGGTTCAATCCCATAGGGCCCCCTGAGCACCGCCAGCAGGGATTCCTGAGTGCAGAGCCAGGAGGAACTCCCCTGGGCATCGCTGGGTGTCACCCCCAAAACCATATAAACCAGCAAAACAAAACAAACAACAAAAAAAGAACCAAAAAAGCACTGGAGACAATTCTGGAAACTGGCTCTCCAGTGAAGTGGGCCCGGCACGAGGCTGACCAGGGTTCCCTGCCTGAGACCTGCCAGGAGTGATCCCTGAGCGCAGAGCCAGCAGTCAGACCTGAGCACAGGCAGGTGTGCGTCCCTCCCAAAATAATAATAAACTAACAACAACAATAATAAGGCACGTTCTGGGGGCTGGAGCAATAGCACAGCGGGTAGGGCGTTTGCCTTGCACGCGGCCGACCCAGGTTCGATTCCCAGCATCCCATAGGGTCCCCTGAGCACCGCCAGGAGTAATTCTTGAGTGCAGAATCAGGAGTAACCCCTGGCTACTGTGCATCGCCAGGTGTGACCCAAAAAGCAAAAAAATAAATAAATAAACAATTTAAAAAAATAAAGCACGGACCCATATGGTCCCCTGAGCACCGCCAGGGGTGATTCCTGAGTGCAGAGCCAGGAGGAACCTCTGTGCATCGCCAGGTGTGACCCAAAAAGCAAAAAAGCGAAAAAAAAAAAAAAAAGCACGTCCTGGCTCCTTCTGCCACCTGTAGGAGTAACTGTAGGAGGCCCGAGGTGGGTGGGTCAGATGATGGGAAGGAGGCACCCAGAGTCTTTCTGCAGAGACCTCCCAGCCTCTCCCCAGCAAAACAGCAGGAAGGGGTGGGGGTGGGGTTTGCGGTCCAGGGGGCTGGCCCGGAGGAGCCGTGGGGAACCCCCGGAGGGCGAGAGCGCTCCTCCGTAACTGCATCATCTGCAATGCACTTAGGGCACCTGCAGCCGACGTCGATGTGACCTGGCCGGGGGCGTGGCCAGCCTGGCCTGGGGGTTGGGGGGCGGCTCTGAGAAGGGGGGAGCCTGAACCCGCGTGGGAAACGAAACTGGAGCGGGGGGGTGGGGGGAGAGGCGATCATCAGACGAGTAGGGGGGGAGAGGAGGCTGGGGGCGCCGGGACCCCCGCCCCCAGCCCCGAGGCTGCAAGTCGCAGCTGCGGAAAGGGGGGGGCAGGAAGAGCGCCGATCTGGAACCGGGAGGGTGGGGCAGAGAATCGGGGCGCTTAGGACCCCCACACTGGGGCTCTGCAAGGAGATGGTGCTGGACTGGGGGGACCCCCACCAGGCCTGAGATCCGACCCCCTCCCCCACCCAAGGGAAGCCGCCGCCAAGGATGGAATCGGGGGGCAGGGGAGCTCCTGCAGATCGAGGCCCCCCCAGGGCTCCGGGGAGGTGGACACGGGGGACACGGGCCCCCCCCGACCTCCGATGAGGCCTGGGGTGGGGGATGGGAGGGCGGGGGGCGGGGGGCGGGGGTCGAGGAGCGTTCGGCGCCCGGCTCGGGTGGAGCCCTGCGCATTAAGCCGCGGAAGGATGGGGACCCGCCCCCCGCATCCCCGCCAAGCAAAGGGGCGGGCGGCAGGACCGGGAGAGGGGGAGCCGCGGGGGGAGGGGACCGGGCGGCCGAGCGAGGGTCTCACCGGGAACTGCAGCCGCCTCCGCGCTGCCGAGCTGCTTTACGGCGCCGTGAAAGGCCGTGAAAGGGCGCGGCGCGCGGCGCTTCCCGGCAACGGCCGCACGGGGGCGCGCGTGTCCTCGCGGCCGGAGCCGCCTGTGACTCCCTCGAGCCGCTGTCTGCGTGCCCAGAGGGACACAGTGACCCGCCCCAGAGCACTCGCCCAGGAGCTGTCGGCAGCGGCCTTCGTGCGGGATTTGCGTCTTCAGTGCAATGCAATCAATTGCTCACGGGCAAAAATTGCACTTTGGGGGCTGGAGTGATAGCACAGCTGGGGAGGGCGTTGCACGCCTTGCACGCGGGCGACCCGGGTTCGATTCCCAGCATCCCATAGGGTCCCCTGAGCACCGCCAGGAGTCATTCCTGAGTGCATGAGCCAAGAGTAACCCCTGAGCATCGCTGGGTGTGACCCAAAAAGCAAAAAAAAAAAACTGCACTTTTTTTTGGTGCATGCGGTAGATCCGGGTTTCATCCCCCTGCACCCCATCATCGGGTTCCCCGAGCACTGCCAGGAGTGATGCCTGAGCACAGAGCCAGGAGTAAACTCTGAGCACGACCGGGTGCTCCACCCCCACCCCCCACCCCCACCCCCAAAATCCTATCAGCTCGGGTACAGGGTTAGGAGCTCATAGAAACCCACTTATGTGCAAGGGAGACCTTGAACCCTCCTCGTGAGGATCACGGGGACTTAGGGAGCACCCAGGAGCCCACGCAGACTTCCTGCCTCCCTGCCAGCTAGTCACCCATGCGTGACCTTCCCATTTCTTCAAGCCGGAACCTTTGCAAAACGTTTCTTCCGCCTTCAATTTCCACAGCCCCCCGTTGCCACCACCCCCAACTCCTCCAAGAAAAACAGGTCTGAGAGTCACGTTTGTTTTTGGTCTTGACTTTTTTTTTTTTTATCTTCGGAAATCTCATAACGTGGGAGCAGAAGAATCTCATAACCAGCGACCAGACCAAGCAGGCACCTGCGGTGACGTCATATTCCCCCCCCCCCCCCGCAGTGGGCACCCCGCACCCCCCACCCCTACCTCCCGCATGCTGGGTTGCTGGGTTTATGCGCACCTTCACCCCTAGACACAGTCTCCTGTTCCCACGGAGCAGCAAACACACGCACCTCCGTGCTGCAAACACCCAGAGTCACCAGGGCACACCTTGGTGGGGTCTGATCACAGCCCAATTGAGCCAGCCACCTTCACAGACGACACAGGTCTCCTCTGTGCGGGGCCACACAGGTGCACGCCCATCCTGTACCCTGAGCGCCCCCTGCTGGACGCTGAAAAAAACACACCCTGGTGACCCGCTTATAACAGGCAAAAGGGAATCCACATGCCACACAACACACACACACACACACACACACACACACACACACACACACACACACACACACCCCTCTAACGCCCTCAGACCCTGGCATGCATTTCTGTACACGCGGAGGGGAAAAATCAAGGGTTCAGATCGCAGATCAGGGATCTTCACCGGCCAATTGACCAAGTCCTCCAGGCTGACACACAGGACTTGGTGGTCTTCATTTACGCAGAGGAGGGCGCTGGGGGTGGGGCTAGGGAGGAAAGCACGTGGTCAGACAGATTGCACCCCTGTTAGGGAAGCTGGGGGTCAAATATTGGGGACTCCCTCTCCCCACTCATTCACCCACATTCCCCTTGACTTACGTGCAAGGCTGTGGGTTTTTTTTTTTTTTTTGCTTTTTTGGGTCCCACCCGGCGATGCACAGGGGTTACTCCTGGAATTACCCCTGGCGGTGCTCAGGGGACCCTATGGGACGCTGGGAATCGAACCCGGGTCGGCCGCGTGCAAGGCAAACGCCCTACCCGCTGTGCTATTGCTCCAGCCCCTGTCTTTAATTTGAAGGCCACACTGGCGATGCACAGGGGTTACTCCTGGCTCATACACTCAGGAATTACTCCTGGCGGTGCTCGGGGGACCATATGGGATACTGGGAATCGAACCCGGGTCGGCCGCGTGCAAGGCAAACGCCCTATCCGCTGTGCTATCATTCCAGCCCCATCTCCGACTTACGTGGTCTGGGATTCTCCAGGTTCTGGGAGATTGTGTTGACTTTAGACTTGATGTAGCTTGTGTCTGGGGGGTGGAGTGGGGGGGGAGAGGAAGCTGGGAGTGGGAACCTCAGATCAGGCCCACCCCCTGCTTCCTTGGAAAGCCCCTTTGGGTCCATCCAAGCGCGGGACGTCGGGCAGCACTAGCACCCCTTGGCGACTAGTCCTGGCCCTGCACCCAGCCGGACCAGGAGCTTTTGGAGACCAGCGGGCACCTTTGACAATCGAGTCCAGTTTGCTGCTGTAGCCGCTGACCACTTTGTGCTCCGCACCGATGGACTGCTGGGTCGCCTGGATGGCCTTCAGGAGCGAGCCCTGGCCCACCCTTAGCTCTTCCTGACAAACTCGCACCGCGCTGGAAACTGAGGATGGAAGGGACCAAGAGTGTGAGTTTGTGTGTGGGGGGGGGGGTAAGTGGGGGGGTCCCCACGGCTCTGCCAGCGCCCCCAATTCCACCACCACCCCTCAGCTCTGCCCCCTCACTGTTATTCAGCTCCGTCTTCAATTCCAGCAGCTCTCGGGACATCTCAGAGTCTGTTGGCGTGGAGGGGAGACAGAACACAGTTTGTGGAGGGGGTTCGAGGGATTGACAGCTCTCACCCGGACCCCCCACCCATCACGGAAGGAAGCTGGGAAGATGGTCCCACTCACTCTTGACCAGGATGATGGCGGACAGGATGATGCAGAAGAGAAATATCAGGGCCAGGAGGATGTACAGGCTCAGAACAGCCCGGTAGAGCCAGCCAGGAACCGGAGCCAGGGCTGAGGGCTGTCCCCTCTGGACTGGACCTAGGGCAGATTCGGGTCCCAACCAACACTCCCATCAGCCCCAACTCTAACACACACCGTGTCCCACACCTGTCACTCAAGCCCCCACGTTCCCCTGCCTGCCTCCACCAGTGGGACCTCCAGTAGGGTTCCTGGTGTGTGGAAACCTTTAGTTTTTTTTTTCCCCAATGCCCATGGATATCACTGGCCGTCGTGGTCCCCCTGGAGGGCTCACTAACACCCTCAGCTAAATTGCCACCGTACCTCGCCATTTTCACCGGCCCCATTCACCCCATGGGCAGAGTTGGCACATTGCCAATCCGAGTCAGCTCCCAACCCGGAAGCCAGCCAAACCCCGTACCACCACCTCCTACCTCCACATCCTGCCCCTGTCCCAGACATCCTGCCACCGGGGGGTGGGGTGGGGGGGGACGGACCCAGGCCCAAGGTGGGTGGGATGTCTGCAGGAGGGCTAAGGCTTACCTGAATTCTTGGGGAGCTTATCACGGCCCTTGGACTGGTCCCGGTGTTTGAAGGTCAAGGTGATGTTCTCATACTCAGGGTCTTCTGCAGCTGCAGGGCGTTCTGTGGGAGGGATAACGGGGCTTGCCCAGGATGCCAGGGTGCCAAGACGTGGGAGGGAGCTCAGGGGTCTTGTTTTCTTGCTTTTTGTTCTTGTTGTTATAAGGGGGTCATAGCCAGTAGCACTTACTTCTGGCTCTGTGCTGAGGAATTACCCCTGATAGGAAACCTAAAGGGGTACTGGGGGGGGGGGGCTGGAGTGATAGCACTGTGGGTAGGGCGTTTGCCTTGCATACAGTCGACCTGGGTTCGATTCCCAGCATCCCATATGGTCCCCTGAGCACCGCCAGGAGTAACTCCTGAGTGCAGAGCCAGGAGTAACCCCTGTGCATCGCCGGGTGTGACCCAAAAAGCAAAAAAAAAAAAAAAAAAAAAAGTTAAAAAAGTAAAAAAAAAGTTTAAAAAAGTAAAAAAACAAAGTCAAAAATCTTGTGCACACCACCGACCCAGGTTCGATTCCCAGCATCCCATATGGTCCCCTGAGCACCGCCAGGAGTAACTCCTGAGTGCAGAGCCAGGAGTAACCCCTGTGCGTCGCGGGTGTCTGGAGCGATAGCACAGCGGGTAGGGTGTGTGCCTTGCACACCACCGACCCGGGTTCGATTCCCAGCATCCCATATGATCCCCTGAGCACCGCCAGGAGTAATCCCTGAGTGCAGAGCCAGGAGTAACCCCTGTGCATCGCTGGATGTGACCCAGAAAGCAAAAAAAAAGGGGGGGCGGGTGCTGGGAATCGAACCCCAGTGTACTATCTCTCCACCCATTCATTTGTTGGGGGTGGGGGGCACACCCAGCAGTGTTCAGGGCTTACTCCTGGCTCTGTGCTCAGGGATCACTCGTGGCAAGCTCAGGGGACTGCATGGGATGCCGGGGATCGAACCTGGGTCGGCCATGCAAGTGCAAATCAAGAGTCCTCCCCGCTGTCCTCACCCTTTGGCCCCATTTGCTTCTCGTCATTCTTTTTGTTTGTTTGCTCTTACCATACCTGGCAGTGCTCAGGGATCACTCCTGTTGGGACTCGCTGGAGGGCGGGGGACCCTCTGCAAATCCAGGGATCAAACCCAAACCCAGGCCGGCTGCATGCAAGACCAGTCCCTCCCTGCCGTTCTGTGAGGTGTTGCATTTCAGAATCTCTCCACGAACAACAAAATGAAGGACAAGAAGCAAAAAAAAAAAGAGGCTGGAGCGATAGCACAGCAGGGAGAGCATTTGCCTTGCATGCGGCCAACCCGGGTTCGATCCCCAGCATCCCATAGGGTCCCCCCCTCCCCCAAGCAGCATTAAGAGTGATTTCTGAGCACAGAGCCAGGAGTCACCCTTGAGCATCGCCAGGTGTGAACCAAAAAGAAAATTTAAAAAAAGAGAGAGAGAGAGAAAGAGAGGAGCAGAGGGAGTGAGTTCTGCTTCTTGTCAGGGTTCAGGGGAGACGCACACTCTGGCCTTCAGAGCGAGACCCCTTCCTCCTCCCCACCCCAACGCACCCACCCTAAGACATCAAACCTTCTTTGCTGGCCGGAGCTCCTCGTCTCTTGTCTTTGGAAGCTGATGCTTGCATCTTGTCTTCTGGGGTCCTGTGATTTCATTCGGGCTCCATGGTCTCCTGGCTTCCCTGAACTCGGTCTCCCCACCCACCGGAAAGTATTGAGTAAGGTGACGCAATCTGGGGTTAGAGGGGCGGGGTGGGTGACAGGAAAGAAGCACCAGGCTCCCTTATGGTCAGAGTTCCTGGAGCTGCTTCTTTGAGACCTTCAGCCGTCACCCAGCTCCTCTCAGCAAGATCAAACAACGGAGAAGCTGGAGAGATACAACAGCAGATAGAGCACGTGGCAGACCCGGGTTCGATCCCCAGCATCTCATAGGGAACCTCCTGGCCCCGCCAGGAGTGATCCCTGAGTGCAGAGCCAGGAGTCAGCCCTGAGCATGGCCAGGTGTGACTCCCAAACAAAACAAAACAGGAATATTAATATCCAAAGCCAGGGAAAATGAGGGCCAGAAGAACTGGTCAGGGGCTGGAGCGATAGCACAGCGGGTAGGGCGTTTGCCTTGCACGCGACTGACCCGGGTTCGATTCCCAGCATCCCATAGGGTCCCCTGAGCAACGCCAGGAGTCATTCCTGAGTGCAAAGCCAGGAGTAACCCCTGAGCATCGCCGGGTGTGACCCGAAATGCCAAAAAAAAAAAAAAAGAACTGGTCAACGGCTGGAAGCTACCACATGACCACATGACCACACATGTGAGGGGAGCAGAGGGCAGTTCGTTAGAATAGACAAGGGATGAGTGTGACAATAAGAGTTGGAAATGGCCACTCTGGACGGGAACTGAGTGTGAAGTCAGTAAAGGTTATCATATACATGATAACCTGTCAGCATCTGTAACGCAAACCATAATGCCCAAAAGGAGAGAGAAACAGAGAGACAGAGACAGAGAGAGACAGAGAGAGACAGAGACAGAGAGAAGTGTGTCATAGATGCAGGGCAGAATAGGGTGGGAGGGACTCTGGGGACATTGGTGGTGGGAAATGTACACTGGTGAAGGGACCAGTGTTACAACATGACACAGCTGAAATCCAGTCATGAACAACTTCGTAACTGTGACCACTATGGATCTCACTGTGATTCAATTAATAAAATAAATTGTGTTAAGAAGACAATTCAGGGGCTGGAGCGATAGCACAGCGGGTAGGGTGTTTGCCTTGCACACGGCCAACCCGGGTTCGATTCCCAGCATCCCATATGGTCCCCCGAGCACCGCCAGGAGTCATTCCTGAGTGCAGAGCCAGGAGGAACCCCTGTGCATTGCCAGGTAATTCAATGGAAAAGACACTGACTTTCCCTGGCACGCAGCTGACTCAGGTTGGATTCCCAGCAGCCCCATAGGGTCTCAAACCCTTCCAGGAGTGATCCCTGAGCACAGAGCCAGGAGTCAGCCCTGAGCACCTCTGGCGATGACTCAAAAACTTAAAAAATAGGGCTGGAGCGATAGCACAGTGGGTAGGGCAGTTTGCCTTGCATGCGGCCAACCCAGGTTCGATTCCAGGCATCCCATACGGTTCCCTGAGCACCGCCAGGAGTAACTCCTGAGTGCAGAGCCAGGAGGAACCCCTGTGCATCGCCGGGTGTGACCCAAAAAGAAAAAAAAAAGAAAAAAGAAGAAAAAACCTTAAAAAACACAAAAGGCTGGGGCTGGAGCGATAGCACAGTGGGGAGGGCGTTTTTCCTTGCACGCGGCTAACCTAGGTTCATTCCCCAGCATCCCACCAGGTCCCCCCAAGCACCACCAAGAGTAACTCCTATGTGCAGAGTCAGGAGTTACCCCAGCCACCATGGGGTGTGGCAAAAAAAAAAAATCCCCGGCAGTGAATAAGGGCTTCTGAACACTGCAAGGAGTAAGCCCACAGCATTGCTGGGTGTGGTGCAAACAACTCCCACAAACTGCTTTACTTGGAGGCTGGAGAGAAAGTCAAGGCTGGAAGGCACTTGCCTGGCCAGTTGCCAACCCGGATGCTTCGTGCCCTGAGCCCGCCAGGAGTGATCCCTGAGCACAGAGCCAGGAGTCAGCCCCGAGCACGGCTGGTGTGGGTCCCAAGAAACAAACCGAAAAAGCTGTTTTACTTCACTGGATCGAATGACGACTGGTCAGGCGCTTCCCCAGATACCGTGTGGACATGCGTGTGGACATGCGTGTGTTCATGTGTGTACTTGTGGGTATGCATGGGCACACTCCCAAAATGAACCGCTTCCTCCTGCCTCCCCCCCAGTCTCCAGAGAGAAACTGGGGTACCCTGAACACCCCAACTTCAGGCGGGGGCAGCTGAACCGAGACAGGATTCCCAACACCCCTCCCGACCTTCTTCCTGCTACATCAAGGGTCCCCCGCAAGCCCACCCCAGAGCTTCTCCTTTTTCGAGCACCCTCCCGCCCCAGCTGGGGCCAGGGAGGACAAGGAAATGCATGAGGCAACATGCAAACCACAGGCCTCCATCCACATCCCTGTCTGGGCGAGGTGCACCCGTGACCCCCCCCTTCTCCGTTCTAGCCCCCCCAAAATGCAGTGGCCCATCAACCTGGACACTCCCTTCAGAGACCAACTCAGACACACGCCCCGACATCCGCTCACCTCAAACGCGCACAGCCTACGGCCACGTGACCATCTGTGGACATACATGTGGGTCCAATGAAAGGGCCTATGTCGGATTGGCCCTGTCTACACTGCGCCTCCTCATTTGACCTTGAAAGGAGGGGGAGACAGGGGCCAGAGCGACAGGCCAGCGGGGGTGGCCTTGCACGTGGCAGACCTGGGTTCGATTCCCGGCATCCCTAATGGTCCCTCCCAGGCCTGCCATGAGTGATCCCTGAGCACAGAGCTAGGGGGAAGCCCGGAGCAGAGCTGGGTGTGGCCCAAAACAGAACAGAAAAATGTGGGGGGCAGGGAGATAAAAATATAAACAAAGGGAGGGGGCTGGAGCGATAGCACAGCGGGGAGGGCGTTTGCCTTGCACGTGGCCGACCCGGGTTCGATTCCCAGCATCCCATATGGTCCCCTGAGCACCACCAGGAGTAACTCCTGAGTGCAGAGCCAGGAGTAACCCCTGTGCATCGCCGGGTGTGACCAAAAAGCCAAAAAAATAAAAATAAAATAAATAAAATTAATAAATTCTTGGGGTTGGAGAGATAGCACAACGGGTAGGGCGTTTGCCTTGCACGCGGCTGACCCGGGTTCGATTCCCAGCATCCCACAGGGCCCCCTGAGCACCGCCAGGAGTAACTCCTGAGTGCAGAGCCAGGAGGAACCCCTGTGCATCGCCAGGTGTGACCCAAAAAGCAATATATATATATATATATATATATATATATATACACACAAAGGGGTCAGAGAGGTGGGACAGTCAATGAGGCACTTCTTGCTTGCAGACGGCCCGGGTTCGATCCCCAGCACTCCATAGAGTCCCCTGAGCCCCTCCAGGAGTGATCCCTGAGGGGCCGTAGCGATGGGACAGTGGGGAGGACGTTTGCCTTGCACGCAGCTGACCCAGGTTCAATCCCCGGCATCCCATAAGGTTCCCGGAGCACCTTCAGGAGTAATTCCTGAGAGCAGAGCTGCAGAGCCAGGAGTAAAAGCCCTGAGCATCACTGAGTATGACCCACCCCCAAAATAAAAAAAACAAAGGAGTAAGCGCTGAGCATTGAGGAATGTGAGCGCCTCGGAGAGAGGGAGAGAGAGAGAGAGAGAGAGAGAGAGAGAGAACATAAAGAGAACATAGGGAAATAATTTTTATTGGGGGTTTGGGCCATTTCCAGAAGTGCTCAGAGCTTACTCTTGGCTCTTTGCTAAGGGATCTCTCCTGGCAGGGCTTGGGGGATCATATTTGGTGTTGGGGTTCAAACTGGGGTCTGCCATGTGTGAAGCAACTATCTTAACCCCAGTTCTATCACTCTGCCCCCACCACCAGACAAATTAATAGGAGCCACAAGTTTAATTTAAAAACTTCAGGGGTTGGGGCTGGAGCAATAGCACAGCGGGTAGGGCGTTTGCCTTGCATGCGGCCGACCCGGGTTCGATTCCCAGCATCCCATAGGGTCCCCTGAGCACCGCCAGGAGTAACTCCTGAGTGCAGAGCCAGGAGTAACCTCTGTGCATTATTGGGTGTGACCCAAGAAAAGGAAAAAAAAAGTGAATTACAGGGCTTTAGAGACATTCCAAGGGGTTTTTATGTTCTTGCCTATCTGAGTTCAATCCTTGGTTCCCCAAAGCGCACCAGGAGTGACCCCTGAGCAGAGCCAGAAGCAAGCCTTGAGCACAGCTGGGTGTGGCCCACCCCATCCCAAATATTTCTTTTATTTTATTTATTAGGCTGGAGCGATAGCACAGCGGGTAGGGTGTTCGCCTTACAAGCGGCCAACATGGCCGACCCGAGTTCGATTCCTCCGCCCCTCTCGGAGAGCCCGGCAAGCTACCGAGAGTATTCGATATGCCAGACACAGTAACAACAAAGTCTCCAATGGAGACGTTACTGGGCCCGCTCGAGCAAATCGACGATCAACAGGAGGGCCTTTACCTTTACCTTTACCTTTTATTTTTATTTTATTTATTTATTTTTTTTGCTCTTTGGGTCACACCTGGTGATGCACAGGGGTTACTCCTGGCTCTGTACTCAGGAATCACTCCTGGCGGTGCTCAGGGGACCAGATGGGATGCTGGGAATCGAACCCGGGTCGGCCGCGTGCTAGGCAAACACCCTCCCCGCTGTGCTATTGCTCCAGACCCAGCCAAATATTTATTTTTTTAAAAAGTTATTGGGCAGGAGAGATAGTACAGCAAGGAGGGCACTAGCCTTGCCCACGGATGGTCTGGCATCTCATAGGGGGACCCCTGGGCCCCACCAGGAGTGATTCCTGAGTACCGAGCGCCGAGTAATCCCTGAGCATCGCTGGTGGCCCAAAACCCAAACCAAGCCAGGACTGTAGCAACAGCACAACGGGTAGGGCGTTTGCCTTGCACGCCGCCGTCCCGGGTTCAATTCCCAGCATCCCATATGGTCCCTGAGCACCGCCAGGGGAAATTCCTGAGTGCAGAGCCAGGGGTAACCCCTGAGCATCACCAGGTATGACCCAAAAAGAAGGAAAAAAAAGAAAAACCAAGCCAGGACTGGAGCAACAGCACAGTGGGTAGGGCGTTTCCCTTGCACGCCGCCGTCCCGGGTTCGATGCCCAGCATCCCATATGGTCCCCTGAGCACCGCCAGGGGAAATTCCTGAGTGCAGAGCCAGGGGTAACCCCTGTGCATCACCAGGTGTGACCCAAAAAGCAAAAAAAAAAAAAAAAAAAACAAACCAAGCCATCGAAAAAAAATGTAATGCCCTTAAGACCAGAGACATTACATCATTTTGATACAAATAAGGAGCAAAGGCTGAGGCAGTTTAAGAAACAGATAATTACTCCGTGGTCCTTCTGCTACCTCCCTGTCACTTCCAATTCAGGCCACCCCTGCAGCCTGCACCCCTCCCGCCCCACCTCTGCACAGCCCTTTGGTTTCCAGGCCGGGGAGATCAAAGGAACCGCAAACTGTGCCACGGCGCCCCCTGGTGTTCGCGGCGTTGACCTACACAGAAGGTTCCAGGCGGAAACCCCGGGGCTTTCCCTGGGACGGATGTTCAACTAGCCCCGCGGAGAAGGCGCTGGACTTGCAATGGTCAACCTGGGTTTGATCCCTGCTCCCCTGCCTGGTCCCCTGAGCACCGCCAGAAGAGATTCCTGGGTGCAGAGCCAGGAGGAAGCCCTGAGCACTGCCGAGTGTGGCCCCCAAAACAAAACAGAGAAACAAAACGACCCCACTCCCTGGCCAGAGAAATCATACAGGAGGGATGATTTCTGCATCATCCTTGCAGGCAGTGTTTGAAGCTGGGCCTTAATAGGAATCTCCAGCACTACAAAAGCAGCCCCCTGAGCACTGTCATGGGTCACCCCTGAGCAGTGCCAGAAACAGCCCCTAAGCTATTTCCACCAGGTATGGGTCAGACAACCTCAAAAAAAAAAAAAAAAAAAGAATTCCCCCATCCAGGCATCTACCTGCCTTTGTCTGGAGGTGTCACCAAGACCCTTAGTAGAACCCTCTGAATTAGACTCTCCACAGCACCACCAACTCCCTTCCCAAACTCTTCATTTTCAGTCCAAGTTTCACTTCCTCCAGGAAGCTTTCCTTGAGTGCCCAGATGGCTTCCACAAGATCCATTCAAGCGATTGTCAGGGTGAACCATCTATCTGGGCCCCCAGAAAAAAGGACCCCTTCGTATCACCTTACTTGCACCGAGATTCACTTCTAGTTTATTATAGTTTGTGTGTGTGTGTTTGGGGGGGGTGTGACTCACACACTTGCCTGCGTTGTAAGCAGCAACCAGATATTTCCGGCAATTAAAATAACAATAATAATGATAATAATTTACAAAAGCAGGGGTCTGGCGATGCCACCTGGTGTTGAGTTCTGATATAGACACCACACTGAGGCCACCAGGGACACCCGGGGCTCTGTGAACATCCGGTGGCGGCCAGATCCAGGTGAAGACAGACACCAATGCAGGGTTGAAGACCTGGAGCCCCAATTTGGCCACAGAATCTCTACAGCCTTCATCCGGGCTAATTAAAGTAATTGGGGGTTGGGCATTGAGCTAAGCCCTGGGGTCCTTTATCGGGAGGAGAAAAGAGGCTGGGGTTCGAATGCCTGAGGCACAGGATCCAGGCATGCACCCAGGGAATGAAGAGCCATCCTTTTTCACCCCATCCTTTTGTCTTAGGGGTGAAAAAGGATGTACAGAGAGGCGTGGCCTGGAGTGGGCGTGGTCTTGGCAAGGCGTGGCCCCGGATAGGGCCGGTTTTGTGGGCGTGGCCTTGTTGGGGGCGTGGCCTGTGGGTGTGTTTCTGTGGGCGTGGTTTGTTGTGGGCGGGGCCCGCAGCTGCAGGCTCCGCCCTGGAGCACACCAGGTCCCTTGGGATGTGGGAATGGGGGTGGGGGGGAGGAGGGACAGCAGGAGGTAATGAGGGCAGGAGGTGTTGGTGGAGCAGGATGAAGGGGTGAGTGGGGAAGCCAGCCCTGAGGCCAAAAGGAAGGGCTGGCAGGGCTCCTCGGGAAAGAGAGTGGGTTGGCTGGTGCAGAGAAGGGAGTTTATTTCTCTGGAACGGAGAGGCGGCGGCACAGTGGCTTGGGAGCTTGGTGTTTGGTGGACATGGGGGCCATCAGGGCAGAGGAATATCCTCCAGCTTCTGGTCCAGCATCTTGAGGTCATCCAGGAAGCGGGTCGGGGTGAGGATGTGCGAGGAGCCTGGGCAGGAGGGTACGGTTGGGGGTTGGAGGGGTGTCGCTGCCACTGTCACCACTCCCCTTCCCTCCTCCCCACACAAATCCCTCACCCCCCAGCAGTTGGGTTCCTGATCCCACTGGAAGGCCTAGAGTCTTAGAAACCCAAGGGGATGGAGTGATAGAACAGAGGGAGAGCGTTTGCCTTGCACCTAGCCATCCCGGGTTTGATCCTTGGCATCCCATACTGTCCCCCAAGCACCGCCAGGAGTTACTCCTGAGCACTGCTGGGTGTGTCCACAAAACAGACAAATATAAATTCAGGGGTCCGGGGTTGGAGCCGGAGTACAGCAGGGAGGGCGCTTGCCTTAGATGCAGCCAGACAGAGTCCATCCCCCATATGGCCCCCCGAACCCTGCCAGGAGTAACCCCTGAGCACTGCCGGCTGTGTCGAAAAAAGCAAATGAAAAAAAAATGGGGCAGGAACGATAGTACAGAGGGTAGGGCATTTCCCTTGCACGCAGCCGCCCTGGGTTCGATCCCCAGCATCCCATACGGTCCCCCGAGCATGGCCAGGAGTAATTCTTGAGTGCAGAGCCAGGAGTAACCCCTGAGCACCACCGGGTGTGACCCAGAAAGAAAAAAAAAAAAACAATCCAGGGCTGGAGAGATAGCACAGCGGGTAGGGCTTCTGCCTTGCACGCAGCCAACCCGGGTTCGATTCCCAGCATCCCGTATGGTCCCCTGAGCACCGCCAGGAGTGATTCCTGAGTGCAGAGCCAGGAGTAACCCCTGTGCATCGCCGGGTGTGACCCAGAAAGAAAAAAAAATCCAGAGCCCCTGCAACTCCCAGCCCCTCAAGACACAGAAGCCCAGCTCCACACTCTAGTCCTGCAGAAGTTGCTGGTTCTTAGGGGGCCCCAAGTGATAGTCCAGCAGGGAGGCATTTGCCTTGTACTCAGTCTGCCCGGGTTCGATTCCCAGCATCCCATAGGGTCTCCAGGGCACCGCCAGGAGTCATTCCTGAGTGCATGAGCCAGGAGGAACCCCTGAGCATCGCTGGGTGTGGCCCCCAAACCAAAAACAACAAAAAAAAAGGTGCGGACTCAGGGGGTTCAGGTTCTTCAGTTCCCATCTGTCTAAGCATCTGGGGGATCCAGCCCTAAGGACCCCCCTTCTCTTGAGGGGGGCGACTCACCAATAAGCACCTCCCATTTGCCCTCGGTGGCTCTGGTCACCTCGTAGGCGGCCCGCATCTCTGACATGGTCACTCCACCCAGAACGTAGAGGATGAGCCGCGGGCCGGCTCGAGCTTCCACGCCCGCCTTATTCTTGTGCCAGTGGCCGAAGCGGGCGCTGGGGTGGTCAGGGGCGCAGGGGTCAGGTGGGTCACTCCACTCCACACCTCATCCCGACCCCCAACGCAGGACCCCGGCATGGGGAAGGGGTGGCGCGGGGCGGGGGTCCTCACCTGACCGCAGCCTGGGAGCTGGCGGCGGGGGCGGGGTCCGACACGAAGGGCCACAGCTTGCGGTCCAGGCGGTCCTCGATGGCATCCTGGGGGTCCACGCGGAGGCTGGGGTCACCGTCTAAACCTCCTCCCTGCCCCTCGGGGATCCTCCGTGGAGTCACCGCCTCCAGCCTCCCGGAATCCCAGACCCAGCCCCCCTCACCCACCATCCTGGAGTGTCCCCCAAGAAGGTAGGGGTTGGGGCTGGAGCGATAGCACAGCGGGGAGGGAGTCTGCCTAGCACGCAGCTGACCCGGGTTCGAATCCCAGCATCCTATAGGGTCCCCTGAGCACTGCCAGGAGTAACTCCTGAGTGCAGAGCCAAGAGTCAGGAGTAACCCAACCCCTGAGCATCGTGACCCAAAAAGAAAAGAAAAAAAAAAGTCTCAGGGGGCTGGAGCTATAGCACAGCGGGGAAGGCGTTTGCCTAGCATGCAGCCGACCCGGGTTCAAATCCCAGCATGCCACGTGGTCCCCTGAGCACTGCTAGGAGTCATTCCTGAGTGCAGAGTCAGGAGTAACCCCTGAGCATCGCCGGGTGTGATGATCGCCAAAAAAGAAAAAAAAGAAAACAAAAAGAAGGCAGGGGTTGGGGGGGGGCTGAACCTCCCGGGCGAGCCCCCAGCCACTGGGTCCTGAACCTGCCGGGTCGTGGCCCCAAAGGAAAAGATGGAACCACCCCCGCCCCCATTCACCTCCTGGGGTCCCCCCAGGGTGTGCCCTCAGAGCTTTTTTTTTTGGGGGGGGGCCTCTGTTAGCTCCTAAGGACCCAGGCACCCAGACAGCCCAGGCCTGGGGCAGAGAGCCATAGGGGGCTGATGGGGGGGCAGGAGGACGCCCCTGGCCTGCTGTCCGGGATAGGGAGGGGCCAGGCGGGGCAAAAGGGTTTCTGGGGGGTGGGTGGGGGGAAGAGGAAGAATCTGGGGCTGGAGAGAAAGAGGCTCCTCGGTGGCACCTGGCGTGTCCCCCCTCCGCCCCCCAAGCATGCTGATGCCGTAGGGAGGTGTTGCTCAGGTGGGCCAGGGGTGCCCAGGGGTGCTCAGGTCTGGCATGTGTGGCGCCCACCCCCAACCCCCACAGCACCTCCATCACGTCCTTGACGATCGGGGTCCAGCGGGACAGCTGGTAGGTGGGCTCCAAACGCTCCCTCCGCTCCAGTCGGCTGGGGCTCGCCGGGCCCTATGGGGGGGCACGGAGGGGCCGTGGGGAGGCTGGGCAGGGGGTAGGTCCTGGCTGGCGGGGGCTGGAGGGGGGCTCCTCTGGCTTTGGGGACGGGGTGGGGGTGGGCGTGGGGGGGCATGCAGATAAGAGATGGAGAAAGGGAGGCGGAGATGAAAGGCAGAGGGGAGGCGGGGAGCAGAGGGAGGAGGGAGGATGGGGAGGGGTGGGAGGGAGGGGGAGGAGAGAGGAGGGGAGGGAGAAGAGGAAGCGGAAGGGAGGACGGGTGGGGCCCAAGGGAGGGTCCAGAGCGGGTGGGGGGGGGGGCGGGAGACAGACAGGGGCGCAGGGGGGCGGGCGTGGGGGTCATGAGAGAGCCGGGAGGTGGGGGTGGGGGCGGAGAGACAGGCGAGACTGAGCAGAGGAAGCTGCCGGGTGTGCCGGTTGGGGTGCGGGGCCCCCTGAGACCCCGGGAGCCCGGGGGTGGGGGTGGGGGGCTGCGGCCGCCCCCCACTCTGCCCTCCTGCCCCCCCACGGCGGGACCACCGCGACCCCCTCCTGCTCCTCCTCGCCCCGGGCTGGGTCGGCGGCGGCGCCGCCCACCGCCTCCCCCGCGTACCCCCGGGTTGGTGACGGTCGCCCCCAGCTGCTCCAGGTTCCGGATGAGGCTGCTGTGGGCCTGCACGTTGGCGTGTTGGATCAGCTTGGTCAGGTTCTCCTCGCTCACCCCTGCGCGCGGGACGGAAGTGGGGGGAGCCCCACGGTCTGGGGGTGCCCGGGACGCGGCCCCACCAGGAGGCGCCCGGGCGGGCACCCCGCAGCGGCCAGGCTGGGGGTCGTCTGGAAGCAGGCGCGGGGGCCCGGTGTGGGGGAGCTAGAGGCTGGGGGTGTCAGCAGGGCTGACCGGGTCATGCAGAGGGGAGTCTGGGGTCGGTGGACGGGCTGCCTGCACGGGAGAACTGGGGGTGGGGGTTCCCGGTGACGCCCCCCGCCCCGCCCCACCCACCGTTCCGGAGGAGGACGTAGAGCAGCAGGACCCGGATCTTGTCGTAGGCCGGCACCGCCGCATCCAGCAGCACCGGCACGATCAGCTTCATGGCGTCCTTGATCTTCTCGCCCTCCGCGTCCGAGCCCATGGCCAAGTCCTGCGGGCGCGGGGTCCAGCTGGCCCGTCAGCCCCCATCGCCCCAGGAAGGGCGGGGGCTCGCCCGGCCTAGGAAGGTTCCACCCTGCCCACAGACCACCAGGCCCGCCCGCCCACTCTTCCTCCCGCAGACCCAGCCAGCCCTCATTCAGGTCCTGGGGTTCCAGAGACTCCGCCCTCACAGGCCACACCCCCCAGGTCTCCCAGGCCCCGCCCCTCAAGGACACACCCCCAGGTCTCCCTCCAGACTCCGCCCCCAGGGCCACACCCCCAGGTCTCCCAGGCCCCGCCTCAAAGACATATCCCCAGGTCTCCCTCCAGACTCCGCCCCCAGGGCCACACCCCAGGTCTCCCTCCAAACCCCGCCCCTCAAGGCCACACCCCAGGTCTCCCTCCAAACCCCGCCCCTCAAGGTCACAACCCAGATCTCCCTCCAAACCCCGCCCCTCAAGGCCACACCCTAGGCCTCCCTCCAGACTCCGCCCCTCACAAGCCACACCCCCAGATTCCCCAGACTCCGCCCCCTCAAGGCCACACCCAGGTCCCGCCCCTAAGGCCACACCCTCAGGTCTCCCTCCAAATCTGCCCTTCAAGGCCACACCCCCAGGTCTCCCTCCAGACTCAGCCCCTCACAAGCCACACCCCCAGGTCCCCCAGACCCTGCCCCTCATCGGCCACACCCCCAGATCTCCCTCCAAACCCCGCCCCTCAAGGTCACAACCCCAGATCTCCCTCCAAACTCCGCCCCTCACAAGCCACACCCCCAGGTCTTCCTCCAAACCCCGCCCCCAAGGCCACACCCCCAGGTCCCCAGACCCCGCCCCTAAGGCCACACCCCCAGACCCCGCCCCTAACGGCCACACCCCCAGGTCTCCTTCCAGACTCCGCCCCTCATAGGCCACACCCCCAGGTCTCCCTCCAAATCCACCTTGCGTCAAGGCCACACCCCCAGGTCCCCAGACCCCGCCCCTAAGGCCACACCCCAGACCCCGCCCCTAACGGCCACACCCCCAGGTCTCCTTCCAGACTCCGCCCCTCATAGGCCACACCCCCAGGTCTCCCTTCAAACCCTGCCCCTCAAGGTCACAACCCCAGATTTCCCTCCAAATCCGCCCTTCAAGGCCACACCCCCAGGTCGCCTCTAAACCCCGCCCCTCACAGGCCACACTCCAGGTCTCCCAGCAGACCGCCCCTCAAACCGGAGCCTCTCCATCCCAGACCTCACTGAGGGCCTTTTCCGTCCAGGAACCCCCGCGACAGGCTCCCCTACCTGCTCCACGTTGCACAACTTCTCCACGGTCCCCTTGAAGTGCTTCATGCAGTCGTCGGCTAAATGGAGATGTGTAGAATACTGCAGGCGGGGGAGAACCAGAGAACAGGCTGGGAGTCAGGCATGGGGGGCTTCAGGCGGAGGGGCAGGGCAAGTCCCCCCAGGGCCCACTCACCTTGTTCAGTTCCTTCTGGTACTGCGGCATCTTCTTCAGAATGTGCGACAGGTCTTTGATGTTGGCCTGGGAGCCAGGGTGCAGGGAAGGCCACAGTCAGGGTCCCGCTCTGGGGGGAGGCGATCGGGGGAGGGGGGGGGCCTCTCCTCCCATGCTGCTCCGCGTGTCCCAGGCCCGCCCCCCACCCCCACCTACCTTGTCGGTGGTCAGCCTCTTGCTCTCACAGAAAGTCTTCAGAAGCTCCGTGACCTTCCTGCCAGGGAGGGTTTGAAGGGGAAGGTGGGGTTGGGGGCTGGGGCTAGGTGAGAGGCGGTGGAGAGACTCCGGCAAGTGGAGAAAGGGGGTGCCCAGGGGGAAAGACCCGGAGCACATGCGATGTGGGGATGCTGGTCCAGGGCCCAAGGCTTGGTGGCTGCCCTAGCCCTGGGCAGAAGGGCATGGGGAACGGGGCGTGGCCTTCTGGGGGCGTGGCCTGTAATGGGCGTGGCTTTTGCGGGTGCTGCTTTTGGGGCAGGGCTTTGTTGGTGACTCATGGGCGGAGTCTGTGGGCGTGGCTTCTGGGGAAAGGGCCTCGTGGGCGTGGCCTCTGGGGCAGGGCCTCGTGGGCGTGGCCTCTGGGGCAGGGCCTCGTGGGCGTGGCCTCTGGGGGCAGGGCCTCGTGGGCGTGGCCTGGGAGGGCAGCGCACGTACTTGGACACGTCTGCAATGTGCATGTGCCGTAGCTCCACCCACAGGTCATCGTCCTCATCCAGCAGCACTGCTTTCTCCCGGGTCTCACTCAGCCCCGTGGTCTCGTACCTGGGGGAAAGTGGCCGGGTGGGGAGGGGGTTGTCAGGGCACCAGGAGGTGTGGGGACGGGAGGGGAGGGAGGATGGAAGGGCAGGTCCCGAGGCCACCCACTTGTATGTGTCCTGCTCAATGTCCAGCAGGTCGTAGGCCATGGCCTGAAACGTGAGCTCGTGCAGGAGTGGGGTCACAGGGTCGGCTGCCCGGTCCATGATCAGCAGCTGGGAGCGGGTTTTCTCAGGACCCTGGAGGCGGCAGATGGGGAGTGAGTTGGGGGGGAGACCCCAGGAAGCCTCACCCCTACCTGTGCATCCCCCGGGGCCATCCCTCTCACCTCGCCCAGACTTGGATTATCGGCCTTGAAGCCGTTGAGCTTGGCCAGGACGGCATGGGCCAGCTGCGCCGTGTCCTCTGGGCCTCTAGGGGTGGATGGGTGGAGACTCAGACATGGGGGGTGGGGGAGGCAGGGAGGAGGCACTCTCCAGGGTGGGAGGCCGGTGAGGGCAACGGGAGGGGTGGGGGGGTCACAGATGGGGTTCAGGGGAGGAGGGAGAGGGTGGCAGGAAGGGGGCGGGGTCCCCACTTGCGGTAGCGGATAGACGGGTACTCCTGCAGCGTGGCACACAGTGTGGCGATCTGCTGGGCCAGGGCCTCGAGCTGCCGCGTGCGCTCCCCAGCCCGGAAGGGGCAGTAGAGGTTGTAGGTGCTGTGGGGGGCGTCCAGGGAAAACACCTGCGAGGGGGGCAGGAGGGCAGAGTGAGGGGCGCAGGCACCCCCTTCTCCCGGGGTGGGGGCGTCTCTGGAGCCAGCCTGGATGGCCTCTGTCTCTCCATGAGGTGGGGGGGGACCCATCCTCCTCCCACTCCCCACCCCCCCACCCTGCAGGGCTAAGTGGGGGGGAGGGCTGCTCGGTGCTGCCCCCTGGAGGTTGCCGGTGGTACAGCCCCTCAGGTGCCGGGATACCAACCGCCTATCAGGGACCAGGCTGGGTCCTACCTGGGCCTCATAAGGGAGAAAGGCCAGGTGGATCTCCTTCAGCGTCTTCACGACCTTGGCTAGGCGGGAGCGGCCCAGCTCACAGAACAGGGGCTCTGGGCAGGCTGGGACAGGCGAGAAGAGGTGTCAGGCCCCCCCAGACCTGGAGCAGATCTCAATACACACCCCCCCCCAAAACTCTCCCCAACGTCCTCCGCTCCTCACTCACTGTCAGTGAAAAAGATGTGCGCTGCCTTGTAGGTGAAAGTCGGGGTCCCCCGGAAGTCTGCGATCAGGGCCTGCACGGACTGCGGGACGCAGGACTCTCTCCAGGCCTCACCTGGGCCCACCACCCCTCAGCCCTATTATAGGGCCTCCAGGTCCCTTATTCATCTCCCCATACAGGCAGACACATGCATTCACGTGAACAGGCACACACACGTGCACACAATGCACGTGAAGATGTGTGAGTGCTTGGGGCTGGAGCGATAGCACAGCGTGGTAGGGCGTTTGCCTTGCACGCAGCCGACCCGGGTTCGATTCCCAGCATCCCATAGGTTCCCCCGAGCACTGCCAGGACTGATTCCTGAGTGCAGAGCCAGGAGGAAGCCCTGAGCATTGCTGGGTGTAATCCAAAAAGCAAAAAAAAAAAAAAAAAAAAGTGTGAATGCAACACGTGAGTACACGTGCCTACTAGACACGTGTACTAAGCATGCATACGCCTGCATTCAGGTAAGCACGCACATACGTGCATGCATGCACCCAATCCCACGTGCAAGCACACACACACACACACACACACACACACAGACAGGTACCTTCTCTGTGGGGCTCAGCAGGTAGATAGCTTCCAGGCTGGGGATGGGCTCACGTCGTTTGTTGATGTCCTCCACGACTACCCGGGTTGGAGGAAGGAGCGTGGGAGGGGGCGGGGGACAGGGGAGTAGCCTCAGCTCTGGGGGAGCTGGACCCCCATGAGGGAGGGGCACGCTGCCCTCCTGGAGGCTCCCAGAGGGACACACCCACAGGTGACGCAGCTCAGAACCACCCTCATGGTGGCTCTCTCCGGGGTCCGTGGGGCTCCTTTAGCAAGTGCCATGCTCTGGAGGCCGGAGCGGTAACACGGTTGGAAGGATGTTTGCCCTGCATGGGGCCAACCTGGGTTCGATCCCCAGCATCCCATAGGGCTGCCATCACCCCTCCTCCTGCCTTGCCCACCCCCCCCCCAGCATCGCTAGGATTAATTTCTGACTGCAGAGCCAGAAGTGAAAAAAAAAAAAAAGGAAAAAAAAGGAAATCCCGCCCTCTGGAGGCTCCCACACTGTCCACCTGGATGTCCACCTGGAGGGGGAGATGGACACGGGGTGCCACAGCCGGGGACGTGGACTCCTGCAGGGGGCACCGTGGGGTGCACTTGTAGGCAACCCGCTCTGGGCTATCTTGGACACTGGGGGGTCCACACAGGAGTCTTCACAAGGTGGTACAAGGATCGGGTTGCGGGGGGAGGGGGGATGTCTCCACTCACTGGTGATGCCCTCGGCCAGGATGTCCGACATCTTGCAGCAGGAGGACAAAATGCGCATGCTCGGGTGATCCATGATGAGCACCTAGCGGAGGAGTTGGTACGTGGACAGGGGCCTGGGGGGAGGGGGCGGGGCAGTGGGCTCGGGAGCCCATCGGGTGAAGGGGAGGGCGGCCCCAAGAGCCCACCCCCTGCACCACTAACCCCCCCCCACACACACACTCCTCACGCCCCAGCTGCTTCTTCGGTGGGTTTTCGGGGGTCCCCCCCACCTGTTTCGCCCCGACCTACCTTCCACTCCCCATCCTTTTTGACACTCCGAATGACGCCGCTCAGAATTTCTGCGGGGAAGGGAGGAATGGGCAATGGGCTCAGGAAGAAGGCTGGGTCCCCTGGCATGCTGGGGACACTTGCAGACATGCATGCGTGTGTGTGCGCGCACACACACACACACACACACACACACAATGTCCCCAACTTTTTTTTTTGCTTTTTTGGGTCCCACCTGTTGATGCTCAGGGGTTACTCCTGTCTCTGCACTCAAGAATTACTCCTGGCAGTGCTCGGAGACCATACGGGATGCCGGGGATTGAACCCAGGTCCGCCCGTGCAAGGCAAACACCCTCCCCGCTGTACTGTCGCTCAGGGAGCCCCCCTGCCCTCCCTCCAACTTTCCCTTAGTCTTGAGCGTGAAATGTGCCCTTGGGATTCCTGACTGCACACACGTCCCCATGCCTTGGGGGTCTGCACCTTCCCTAATTTCTCCGAGCAGTTCCGGGTCTCCACCCATTCCCACCCTCAAGCAAGTTACAGCCAAGGAACCGGGTTCAAACAACAGTCTCAGCCTCACTGTGTGGCTGAGTGCCTGGGGCTTCAGTCAGCAGATCTATGAGATTCTGGGGCTGGAGAGGTTTCTGGGTTCCAGCCCAGCACTGCCTGGAGCCCCAGAGGACCCCGAGCGAGGACTAGCCCTGGAGCACCATTGGTGAATCCATCCCCCCCCTCCACCAAAACACCAAAAAAGCAAAAAAAAAAACCCACAAAAATTAAAACAAACAAACAAACATTGTTTTAGAAGGATGAAAACAGTGGACATCAGGGTTTGCCTCCAAGTCAGGCTCGCTACCTCCAGCTCCCGCCAGGTTTCCACCAGACCCCCTGATTCCCCCCCACCCCGGATGAGAATCGGGGCCTCTGGTGCCCTGTTCTGAGGCCACCCTTGCTGGACCGTGGACTCAGTCTCCTCATCTGTCAAATGGGGAGCCCCAGGCCTTCTGGGGACCAGGGGGAAACCCTGTTTGGAGGGTCTCTTGTTTTGAAGCTGGGGTGCCCGAGGTTTAAGCCACACTCTGCACTGGCCGGAGGACGGAGAGAGAGAAGGCAGGGGGAGCAGAGGGGGTGGCCCCGCCTGCCACATGGTCATGTCCACTGTTATCTGGACCGCCAGGGCGGAAGGAGCAGCCGTGGCCGGAACTCCTGGAGGTGGAGGGGGGAGGAGGGAGGAGGCGACCTCCAGCCCGCCCCCCCAGCAGAACCCGCGGGGGGCCTGGATCCCCTCGGGGTCCTCCCCTTGCTGGGGGCTGCAGGTCCCTGCAAGGTGCAAGCTGCAAGGCAGAGGAGGGGAGCCCCCCTGGGTGTGAACAGACGCGGGGACACGCCCCCCGAGCTCGCCGGGCTCCGAGCGGGGTGGGCGGGGGGTGGGGGTGGGGGATGCCCCAGCCGCAGCCCCGGAACCCGAGCCCCCCGGAGTTTGCAAGTTCCCCGAGCAAGGGCGTCTAGGCGTCCAGCAAGGCCGGAGTCTCGGGGAGGCCCAGGGGTCGGTCCGGACCCGCTCGCCCGAGCCACACCCCTGCCCGCCCAGTCCGATCCCCCCCTGGGTGGGGCGTCCCCCACCCCCACTCCCCGGAGCCCAGCGAGGACCAAGGCGGGGACCCCCGTCCTCCAGCCCGGCCCGCCCCTTCGAGGACCAGGTGATCGACAGCTCCCCCGGCCGGGCCCCCGACTCCCCGCCCGGATCCCAGGATCCCCGGCGCGCCCCCTGCCCTCCCGGGTCCCCGGGGAGACGCGACAGCCCCGTCCGGGGGGCTGGGGGGCGACACTCACTTTCCCCCACCACCGCCTTCAGCCCCGAGGGCGCCATCTTCCCCAGGGGCGCCGCCGCCACTTCCGGGTTGGGCTCAAGGTGGGGGCGTGGCCGACGCGTCAGCCACGTGGGCCCCGCCCCCCGCGGGCCCGACCACGCCCCCTGCGGGCCCCAGCCACGCCCCCGCGGGCCCCAGCCACGCCCCCGCGGGCCCCAGCCACGCCCTCACGGGCCCCAGCCACGCCCCCGCGCACCTGGCCCCGCCCCGCGCACCTGGCCCCGCCCCGGCGAGGCTGAACCCGGCGGAATGCGGGCAGGTTGACCTTTCGCTCCTCGACTCCCCCCCTGCTCGCTTCCTGCGAGAAAGGGCGAGATCGCGGGGCGCTCTGCACGCCAGCTGCTTGCCCCCAAGTGGTCCCACGCCTGGGGGAGGGGGGTGCGGGTGCGCCTGTGTCTCCGCCCTGCTCAGAATGCGGGAAGCCACAAACCCCGTGACCCACTTCCCTCCTGTCCCCAAGAGTTTATAGGCTTGGGCAATATTTGATCAACTCGAGAGGCCCTAGAGAGAGAGAGAGGGTCGGGCTGAGGCCATCGGCTAAGGTGTGGCCCGTTCTCACCCCAGGCTCCAGAGAGCCCAGGGGTGTGCAGGGCTGACAGTGTGTAGGACCCCCAGGCTCATGGGGTCGTCCACCCCCCCCTCGAGTACAAAGCGGTGTGACTGCAGGTCTACCGAGATTTGAAGCTGGAGTCGGTGGTGGGGAAGAAGGCGTATGCTTTGAGGGGACAGTACAGCAGGTAGGGCACTCGCCTTGCATGGGACTAACCAAGGTTGAATTCCCAGGCTATTCCCAGGGTACCCCCAGCCTTCAGGATTGATCCCTGAGCAAAGAGTCAGGATAAGCCCTGAGCACAGGTGTGGCCCCCAAAAAACAAAATACTTATGCTTTGGGGACAGGAGAGAAAGTACAAGGAGGTAAGGCACTTGCCTTTCACAAGAATGACTTGGGTCTGGTTCTACGTGGAAAGTATCACGCTAAGTGAAATGAGCCAGAAAGAGAGGGACAGCCATCGAAAGACTGCACTCATCGGGGGAATATAAAGTAACAGAATGGGAGTCGAACACCCAAGAGTAGTTGAGATAACTACCGGGAGGTCGGCTTCACGGCTTGGAAGCCGGCAGCACATGCTGGGGGAAAAGGCAGCTCAGATAGAGAAAGGAACACCAAGTTTGGAGGACTCGCTCGGGATGCGAGATGCATGCTGAAAGTAGACTGTAGACCGAACACGATGGTCACTCAAGGCCTCTATTGCAAACTACAAGACCCTAAAGGAAAGACAGAGCAAAAGGGAATGCCCTGCTAGAGAGGCGGGGTTGGTGGGGGGGATGGGGTGTGGGGGTGGGATGGCCACTAGGATCATTGGTGGTGAAGAATGGGCACTGGTGGAGGGATGGGCACTCGATCATTGTATAACTGAAACCCAAGCATGAAAGTTTGTAAGTCTACAACTGTACCTCATGGTGTTTCACTAATAAAACAAACCCAAAAAAATGCCATACTCCAATCAAAAAAAAGGAAAAGAATGACGTGGGTTGAATCCCTAACATTCCATATGTTCCCTCGAGCCCATAGGAAGTGTGATCTCTGAGCGCAGAGGCAGGAATCAGCTGTGAACACAACCAGGGACAACCCCCAAACCAAAAAATATTGCCTTGCACAAGACCAACCTGGATTGGATCTCCAACATCCCACAAGTTCCCCCGAGAATCTCCAGGAGTAATTCCTGAGTGCAGAGTCAGGAGTAACACCTGAACATTGCCAGGTATGGCCCCCAAATAAAACAAAATAAAGGAAGTTTCTAAGAATAAGACCAGACGTGGAAGCGAAGGCCCCACTATTTATAAAGACAGACAGGTGCTGGTTTTGTCTTTTTGGCTTTTAGCTGGGGGCAGAGCTCGCTGCACTCCCCAGATCAAGATTTAAGGGGTGGAGGGGTGGAGGGGTGGAGGGCTGAAGTGATAGCAGAGCGGGTAGGGCGTTTGCCTTGCACGTGGCCAACCTGGGTTCGATTCCCGACATCCCATATGGTCCCCCGAGCACCGCCAGGAGTCATTCCTGAGTGCAGAGCCAGGAGTAACCCCTGAACATCGCTGAGTTTGACCCAAAAAGCAAAAAAAAAAAAATTAGGGAAGGGGACCTGGGAGGTCCCAGAAAGCCGAAGTCACCTTTAGCACCCCAGCCTGACCCCAGGGGGCACCTGCTATCCTCTCCACCTCCTCCTTTGTGAGGGAACCAGCCTATCCTGCTTTCTGGGGTCAACTGAATGGCCCCCTCAAAAAGCTAAGTCGAGGGGTTGGAGAGATAGCACAGCAGGTAGGGCATTTGCCTTGCATGCAACCTACCCGGGTTGGTTCGATTCCCAGCATCCCATATGGTCCCCTGAGCACTGCCAGGAGTGACCCCTGAGTGCAGAGCCAGGAGTAACCCCTGTGCATCGCCAGGTATGACCCAAAAAGAAAAAAAAAAAGCTAAGTTGAGCCTCTCAGAATACATAAACAGGAGCAGAGAAAGTGTGTTGAGAGGATGTTATGCTGGGGGGGTCGGGTCCCCTAGGAACCAAGTGTTGGTCCGTGTCCCAGTTCAGAGCTACAAGCCAAGGACCATGCTAGACTACCTGCCCCCTAGCCCGGACAAAGATCCCACACTCATAGGTGGGTGTGGGGGTTCTATCCCCCTCTGAGTCAAGGGAACCCCCTGGGAAATGAGGTCACTGGAGGAAGGAGCAGGATGGTCCCAGGTTGGCATTCATTATTTGTGGAGGGGGGCATGGTGATGTGGGTCCCTTCTCCCAAGGGGACAGTTGCTTGGGGATCAAGATGCTGCATATGACCTGTTCATCGCTTTTTTATCATTTTTTTTTTTTTGCTTTTTGGGTCACACCCAGCGATGCACAGGGGTTACTCCTGGTTCATGCACTCAGGAATTACCCCTGGAGGTGTTTGGGGCATCATATGGGATGCTGGGAATCGAACCCAGGTGGCCGTGTGCAAGGCAAACGCCCTCCCCGCTGTGCTCTTGCTCCAGCCCCTGGCCTGTTCATCTCTTGAAGACACTTGTTTGGGTTCCAGAAAGGCATCTTGGGGTACAGGGGGTGCCCCTCCACACCCTCAGTGATACCCACCTCCATATCACCAAGGAAAGCTGCTCCAGAAATGGATAAAGACTGGGAACGGGTTCATGAGAAGAAAAAGTCGCTACTGAGGCTGGAGCGATAGCACAGCAGGGAGGGTGTTTGCCTTGCATGCGGCCGACCCGGGTTCGATTCCCAGCATCCCATATGCTCCCCTGAGCACCACCAGGAGTAAGCCCTGAGTGCAGAGCCAGGAGTAACCCCTGAGCATTGTCGGGTGTGACCCAAAAAGGAAAAAAAAGAAGTCTCCACTAAGAGAAGAATCAGGCTGTCGGGGCCAGAGCAATAGTACAGTGGGGAAGGCACTTGCCTTGCACATGGCTGCCCTGGGTTCGATCCCATAGGGTCAAATGGCCAGGATGACCAGCAGTAATTCTTCAGCACGGAGCCAGGAACAACCCCTGAGCATCCCCAGGTGTGACCCCAGAAAATAAATAACAACTGTCAACTGTCCTCCCATTGTTCATCGATTTGCTCGAGTGGGCCCAGTAACGTCTCCATTGTGAGACTTGTTGTTACTGTGTTTGGCATATCGAATACGTCATGGGTAGCTTGCCAGGCTCTGCCGTGCGGGCGAGATACTCGGTAGCTTGCGGGGCTCTCTGAGAGGGGTGGAGGAATTGAACCCGGCTCGGCCGGGCCGGCTGCATGAAAGGCAAATGCCCTACCTGCTGTGTTACCGCTCCAGCCCGATAAATAAATAAATAAAAATAAATAAATAAATAAAAAGAATCAGGCTGGAAGGGGTTTATTGAAATACTCCCAAGGAGCCCCAGTGAAATCATCCCGATTCTGTGTTCTGGGGAGATTTATAGTGAAGCACAGGAAGCCTGAGGTTCAGGGTAGGCTGGTTCCAGGGCTTTCCAGCAGGTTCCAGGAATTATGACAGCCATAAAAAAAAAAAAATCCCCGGGCAATGGCTTAACCAGCTGCTCAAGCCCAAGGACACGGGTCCCCTCCGTCCTGTCTGCCCTGCTCTGTGGTGACCGGTCAGAGACAGTGCAACTTGGTGACAGGGACACAGCAAGTCCCAGTTTGGGGGTCTGCGGATGTGAATAAAAGGGGGCCCGGAGAGAAGCAGCCCTGAAGTGCAACTGGCTGAGGGGGTCCTCTGTGATCCAGGGGTGTCCAACTCCCCTGTCCACTACTATGTGGCAGGAAGTGGGGAGGCCCATTTGGAAGTTCGGGGGTGCTCAGAGGTTTCTCCTTCCTCTGCATTCAGGAATTACTCCTGGGAGTACCTGGCGGGGGGACTATATGGATTCCGGGGATCAAGCCCTCCCTGCTGTCCTATCACTCTGGTCCAGGGTGGGCCCGCCCTGGCCTGCGCCCACTGTGCTGACCTGCAGTGACCTGCCCCCTCCCCAGCCTACTGGGTCCCCCCGCCTCTCCCCACCCCAGTCTCTGGCATCTAGCCACTGAACAATGATCTGGATTATTTTGATGGGGCTTAAGGCTGGGTGGGGGCGTATGGGTGGGAGCCGGGGAGCCGGGCTGGAGGGTATTTTCTGCTTGGCACCCTGGTCTTTTAAAAAGCTTTTCTCAGGGGGATTGTGATAGGACAGTGGGGGGAGGGGGGGTTGGGCATTTGCCTTGCACATGGCGGACCCGGGTGCAAGCTCTGGCATCTCATAGGGTCCCCCGTGCACTGCCAGGAGTGATCCCTGAGTGCAGAGCCAGAAGGAAGCCCTGAGCACCACCAGGTATGACTCCCCCCCCCCAAACCTAAACCCAAACCCAACCAAAACAACAACAAAAAAGCTTTCTCAGGCTCAAAGCCAGGCAGAGGCCAGTGGAAACATGGATGGAACCAGGATAAGGATAGGGGGCGGGGGCTGGAGCGATAGCACAGTGGGTAGGGCGTTTGCCTTGCACGCGGCCAACCCGGGTTCGATTCCCAGCATCCCATATGGCCCCCCGAGCACAGGGCTAATTCCTGAGCGCAGAGCCAGGAGTAACCCCTGTGCATTGCCGGGTGTGACCCAAAAAGCAAAAAAAAAAAAAAAGGATGGGGGATGACATCCCCTCCCCTCTTGGGCCAGCCTGGGCCAGGGGTGGGGGCACTCCATAATCAGGCCTCGCCCAGCATCCCCCCCAACTCCTGGGGAGCCCGCCAATGCTGAGGCAAATCCGTTTGTGGGACACCTAATTAGCTAGCGGGTCTCCCAGGACCCCTGACCCAGTTGCTGCCGGCGGAGATGCCCTTGGGAACGGGGGGTTCGAGTGCTCGGCACCGCTGCTCGGACAGAGGTCAGAGCTGATAGGGTGGACCCCGGGGGAGGTGCTGGGGTGGGGGTGGGGGCTGATGCAAGGATTTAGGGGTGACCCCGCCCCCAGGCAATCCTCCCATCTGGCCCAGAAGTAGGACACGGCTCCCCCTGCACCCCCACTGCCTGGGCAGCCTCTCCCACGAGGGGGGACCACGTCAGCCGGGGCGGGGGGGACCGGGAAGGAACCGCCGGCCTCATTTGTAACAGCTCAGCCGAGCCGAGCGGAAGGGTCTATGGTGAGATGGGCGCAGGTTGGGGTGCGGGGAGGCGGACCCCGCGCTGGGTGGGGTGGGGGGAGCTGGTGGGACCCACGGCGCGTCGTGTGTCCCCAGGCGGGCGCCCCGGACCAGGAGGGCTTCTTCGACCTGGTCAGCCACGTGCAGGGAGGCCGCATGGAGGAGCAGCGGTGCCAGTTGCAAGCCGGGTCCGGGCAGCACCCTGAGAGCCGTGAGCACGGACCCAGGGGTGGGGATGTTGAGGGATGAACGGGGTGACCTGCAATGAGGGTCCGTAGGGTGGGAGCCCAGGCTTCGCATGGGGAGACGCGGGCTCCTCGGGCACTTGGGGCTTCCTGGGAGCAGGCACTGGGTAGGGACCCCTATTACACCTGAATGTTTGCGGGGCTGGAGCGACAGCACAGCGGGGAGGGTGTTCGGCTTGCACACGGCCGACCCGGGTTCGATTCCCAGCATCTCATATGGTCCCCGGAGCACCGCCAGGAGTCATTCCTGAGTGCGGAGCCAGGAGGAACCCCTGAGCATCGCTGGGTGTGACCCACCCTCCAAAAAAAAAGGGGAAAAAAAGGGAATGGAAGGGGTGGGGGTGGCAGGAGGGATACGAGGAACATTGGTGGTGGAGAATGAGCACTGGTGGAGGGATGGGTTCTCGCACATTGTATGACTGAAACCTAATTATAAAAGTTTGTAAGTCTGGGGGCTGGAGCAATAGCACAGCGGGTAGGGTGTTTGCCTTGCACGCGACCGACCCGGGTTCGATTGCCAGCATCCCATGTGATCCCCAGAGCACCATCAGGAGTGATTCCTGAGTGCAGAGCCAGGAGTAACCCCCTTGTGCATCACCAGGTGTGACCCAAAAAGCAAAAAAAAAAAAAAAAGACCAGTTGGGGGCTCCAGTCGACTGGGGTGTGGGTGGGCGTCTGGAGTCTGAGTCTGTGCCCACCTGCATGCTACACCCTGTCCCCCCATGCCAGCCCCCGGAACAGAGAGTGGCCCCGCACCCGAGATGGACAATCTCATGGACATGCTCGCCAGCACCCAAGGCCGTCGCATGGACGATCAGCGCGTGACCATCAGCGCCCTGCCAGGTTTCCAGCCTGTGGGTCCTAAGGTGGGTGCCTTCCTGCCACCACCCCTCACCTCCATCAGGGCCCATCCTGGGCACCTGCTGGCGGCGGCGTTCTGGCCCATATACCTCCTGAGTGAGGAACAGGGACACAGCAGCCTGGGTGGGGCTGCCCAAGTCCGGCAGGGGGACGTGTGAATGTCAGAACCGAGGCCGAGACTCCAGCTAGGGCCAGAGATCAGCCAGCCGACCTGGGTTCGATCCCCAGCATCCCATAGGGTCCCCCAACCACCACCAGGAGTAATTCCTGAGTGCAGAGCCAGGAATAACCCCTGAACATTGCTGGGTGTGACCCCAAAAGACTTTGGGGAGATCCTCGAGACACCCCCAAAGGCTGCTTTCAAGGCTGAGAAGCTGAGGGGCTGGGGTGATAGCACAGCGGGTAAGGTGTTTGCATTGCACGCGGCCGACCCGGGTTCGATTCCCAGCATCCCATCTGGTCCCCTGAGCACCGCCAGGAGTAATTCCTGAGTGCAGAGCCAGGAGTAACCCCTGTGCATCGCCGAGTGTGACCCAAAAAGCCAAAAAAAAAAAAGGAGTAAGTCATGAGTACTGACTGGGTATTGTCCACCCCCCCAAAAAAAATTGTTAAAATTAAAAAATTGGGGGCTGGAGAGACAGTCCAGCGGGGAGGGCACTTGCCCTGCACATGGCCTACCTGGGTTCGATCCCCAGCATGCCATAGGGTCCCCCAAGCACCGCCAGGGGTTAATTGAGAACAGAGCCAGGAGTCATTCCTGAGCACTGCTGGTGACCCAACCCCCACCTCTAAAAAAAACGAGGGGGGGTGGGGGAGAAAGGAAGAGCTTTCGACTCCCCCCTTCTCCCGATTAACCTCGCTCTCCCTTGCCCGCCCTTTCTCCACAGGACAAAATGCAGAAACGCCCCGGGACCCTGAGTCCCCAACCCCTGCTTGTGCCCCAGGACCCGATGGCACTCAGCTTCCGTCGCAACAGCAGTCCCCAACCCCAGACCCAAGGCCCCTGAAGGGCCTGAGTAAGCTGGCCGGGCACCGTCCCCCCCCAACCGGCTCCTCCTACAGGCAGATAGATAATAAAGGACGGCTTGAGGACAAGGAACTGAGGAACCGAATGTGTGTTATTTGGCTTCGTGACAGGCGGGTGGACGGGTGGGTAGACCGTGGGCCTCAGGAGCTGTGCTGGGCCGCTCGAAGGAGCTTCTCCTCCCTCTGCTTCCGAAGCCGCGCCTTAAACTCTTCCATCTCTCGGCGCTGTGCGTGGGGCCGATGGTAGGAGGGAGAGACAAGACAGGGTTGGGGTTGGCGGACCACACACACACCCCACACACAGACACACACACAGCCGAGGGCTGGGACCTCTCTCCCTCCACCCTAGCCACCCCCCCCCCCCAACTCCCAGCTTCCGAGCTGACTTGGGTGGCCGGAGCACAGGAAAAAACTATGCTGGTTAGAATCAGGGCCTACTTGGGGCTGGAGTGATAGCACAGCGGGTAGGGTGTTTGCCTTGCACGCGGCCGACCCGGGTTCGATTCCCAGCATCCCATATGGTCCCCTGAGCACCGCCAGGGATAATTCCTGAGTGCAGAGCCAGGAGTGACCCCTGTGCATCACCGGTGTGACCCAAAAAGAAAAACAAAACAAAACAAAAAAAGAATCAGGGCCTACTTGGGGCCCTGAGAGATGGGTCAGCAGGAAAAGTATTTGACTTGCATGTGGTGGCCCCTCCCAGGATCCCTGGTACTGCATTGGGTGCTCTCAGCTCTACCAGGAATGACCCTGAGCACTGCCGGGTGTGGCCCCAATCCCTCCCACGCCCCCCAAAAAGAACCGACCCAGATCAAGAATAAGCAGGATTGTGGCCGAAGCAATACAGTACAGCAAGTAGGGCATTTGACTTGCACGCAGCCGACCTGGGTTCAATTCCAAGCATCCCATATGGTCCCCCGAGCACTGCCAGGAGTAATTCCTGAGATGCATGAGCCAGGAGTGACCCCTGTGCAACGCTGGGTGTGACCCAAAAAGCAAAAAAAAAAAAAAAAAAGAACAAGCAAGATCAGTGTCATGGGTCACAGAGCGTTTTCCAGAAACTAAACCCTGGGCTTTCAGGTCCCTGGCAGCAACTGGGGCCAATATTGACACGGGTACCCCTCCCCGCCATGGACACCTCTGGTGGCAGGAGCAGGGTGTCACTTACCTGCTCTTCTGTCTCAGGAGGCCACAGCTCTCTCTGTGGGGACGAAGTCACAGCTCCAGGCAGGCTCCTGAAGCCTGACCTGGGAGGATCTTCTGGGCTCCCCAGAAGCCCCCCAGGGCTGGATCCTTCATCCCCCAGCCCCCCAAGCCCCTCCAAGGGTACCCACACCCACCTTGCGCTGTATGACGTTCTGTTCAAACCATTCAGCCTGATTGGCAACCCAGAACATGGCCACGGGGAAGGTGAGGTAGAGAACCATCTGGAAGGGCAAGCGGTAGATAAGCAGAACTTAGGGGTCCCACCCCTCACCTCCACGTGCAGGCCCAACCACCAGGAACCCCCAAACACCTCCTCGGCGGCCTCCTTACCAGGAACCCCAGAGCTCTCTTGGATGAGTCCAAGTTTATTCCCTGGAGCCAGAGAGAGCTTAGCGGGCTGGAGAATAGGTCTGGCATGCAGGAGGACCCGGGTCTCACGGCTGCAGCATACGATCTCCCCCCAACACACACACCCCCAGCACCCGCCGGGAGCCCCGCCGAAAGAAAGTCTATTTCTGCTGCAATCCAAGAAATCTTGCTCCCGAGAGCCCCTTCTCAAAACGCTCCCTTCCCTCTGAACACAGCACCCTCGGGTCTATATTGCAATCAATGACAACCAATGCAATCGATGACAATCAATGCCCTGAATGCAATCCTTCCAAGTTAGATCCCCCGAGGGATCCTCCCAAGCCCAGGAGAAATCATTTTTCATGTTCCTAAATCCGAGGATATAAGTAGTCCCTGCTGATGACACCCATCTCAAGCCCAAGGGTTCCCCCAGGGGCTAAAGTTTCCCCCCCTTCCCCGCTCCATCGCCCCTTTCCGAGTCCCCCCGACTTCAGGTAACCGCACCCCCCGCCACCCTGCTATGTCCCCGCTCCAATCTCTGCACCTTCCTCCCCAGGAGTGCTCGCTCTTTGACATCCCCTCCTTTTTTCTGGTCTCCTCCTCTGCGTCACCAAGACGCCCCCCAATCCAGCCTCCCATCCCGCCCTCTCCCGGTCCTGGGGTTCACTGACCCGAAAAACCTCTAATTTCACCCCCATCTCGGCTGCTTCCAGCCTTGCAAAGTCGCTTCCGCCCCGCCAGGGCCAACCCTCCTGCAAGACAGTAGCTCATTGGGATTTCGCGGGTCCCACGGCTGCAGCTGATTGGTCGAGGAGGCCCCCTCGTGACGTCATCTCCAGTCGCTTTTCCCCCCTACTTCCGTTCTCTGTCGCTTCGGAGCGGAAAGTCAACAAGGCAGAGCTGGGCGGGGCCAAAGGGTTCTTGGCCAATAGGAAGTAGACTTGGCTCTGGAGGGGGCGGGTCTTGGGCGCGTGACGTCGAAACCCCCGCGACTCTCTCGCCCGGAAGCCCTGGAAGATGGTGGCGATGGCGCGGCCGTCGCGTACCGAGCGGTCGGACCTCGTCTTCGTAAGTTCGCGGATGGGGTCGAGGGTGACTTTTTCGCAGGGCAGCGAGGCCAGGGAGGCCGTAGGGAAGCGGAGTCCGGCCTCCCCGGGGGATCGAGGCAACTTTTGGGGGGTTGACGGACGGGCCAGAGGCGGGTCGGTGATGCCTGGACCAGGCTGGCCGGGGAGGCTGCAGCCCTGGAGGCGGCGAACCGGGCCTGGGTCGGAGAAGGGAGCAAGGTGGGAGGGGGCGAGTCGCCGAGCTAATGCAGAAAGGAGAGATCCGGTAGGGGTCGGAGCCCTGGGACGGCGGGGAGGGCGTTGGCCTTGCTTGCAGCCTACCCGGTGGGTTCGATCCCCGGAGCCCCCATATCTATGATCTTCCCAGAGCCTGCCAGGAGCGATCTCTGGACGCAGAGCCAAGATGTGGCCCCAACTTTACCCACCCCCACCCCATTTGCTTATTTATTTTTTTGCTTTTTTTTTTTTGAGGTCACACCCGGCGATGCTCAGGGGTCACTCCTGGCTCTGCACTCAGGAGTCACTCCTGGCAGTGCTCGGGGGGACCCTATGGGATGCTGGGAATCGAACCTGGGTCGGGCCGCATGCAAGGCAAACGCCCTACCCGCTGTGCTATTGCTCCAGCCCCCCAGTTTCGGGTTATGTAGCGAGCCTGCTCCGATTGGGCACGAGGACCAGTTGCTGGTGGAGGGCTGGAGAGTGGGTACTGCACCCCGGGTTTGTTTTTTTTTTTGCTTTTTGGGTCACACCTGGCGATGCACAGGGGTTACTCCTGGTTCATGCACTCAGGAATGACTCCTGGCGGTGCTCGGGGGACCCTGTGGGATGCTGGGGATCGAACCCAGGTCGGCCACGTGCAAGGCAAACGCCCTACCCGCTGTGCTATGGCTCCAGCCCCCTGTTTCCTTGTTTTTTTGATCGACATCCAGCAGTGCTCAGGGGTCATTCCTGGCTCTGCACTAGGGGATCTCTCCTGACGGTTTCTATGATCCTATGGAATGCCAAAGGTTCAGTCCTGGTCAGCCTCCTGCAAGGCAGATGCTCTCCAAGTGTACGACCCTCTCCACTTGCTTGGGACTCAGTATTTGGCCGACCGTTTGATTTTCCCAGGTTCCGTGCTCCTCCAGTAGGTTTTTGGGATCCTGGGAGATGCGGAGCTGTAAGAGATCCTGGCGGAAGCGGGTGTAGCATCTGGGCTGTGTTGGACCAGAGGGGTTCATGCAACCAAGTGTGCAATTGTAACCAGGTCACTTGCAGGATGGACCCCAAGCCCTACCATAATGGAATCCAGGATCACCATTGGTCACCAAAGCTTTATGCTATTTATTTATTTATTTATTTATTTATTTTTGGCTTTTTGGGGTCACACCGGTCGATGCACAGGGGTTCCTCCTGGTTCACGCACTCAGGAATGACTCCTGGCGGTGCTCGGGGGACCCTACGGGATGCTGGGAATCGAACCTAGGTCGGCTACGTGCAAGGCAAACGTCCTCCCCGCTGTGCTATCGCTCCAGCCCCTGCACCCCGGTTTGGAGGGCAGACGCTCTGGACCCCCTTCCCTACCCCCCGCAGGAGGAAGAAGACCTCCCCTATGAGGAGGAAATCATGCGGAACCAGTTCTCCGTGAAGTGCTGGCTCCGGTACATCGAGTTCAAGCAGGGCGCCCCCAAGCCCAGGCTCAATCAGCTGTACGAACGGGCCCTCAAGCTGCTGCCCTGCAGGTGGGAAGCACCCCAGCGGCCCTGGGGGGGCCGAAGGAGAGGGGGGTCCCCCACCCTGGGCTGCCCCTCACCGAACTGACCGGTAGAGCTGGAGGTGGGCACAGGTGGGCACACTTCCCCTGGCCCAGCGTGCTGACAGTTGTCATGGAGGCCCAGTCGCCACCTCTCGGAGGGCGGGGGGAGCAGGGGGGAAAAAGTTTGGGGGGCTTGCGATGTTGACCCGCCGTGGTCCGCACCCCCCCGCCCCCTTTCCTCAGCTACAAACTCTGGTACCGGTACCTGAAGGCACGCCGGGCGCAGGTCAAGCACCGCTGTGTCACTGATCCCGCTTACGAAGATGTCAACAACTGTCACGAGAGGGCTTTTGTGTTTATGCACAAGGTGGGGGTCTGCACCGGGCAGGAGGGGCGGGGGGGACAGGCCTGGGGCTGGGTCTAGACTTGGCCCTTGAGGATGTTCGTTCTTTGAGTACTGGGTGGGTCCTAACTTGGGCCGGGGCCGGGGGCCGCAGCTCAGACCAGCCTCTGCCCGCCCCTCCCCCGCCCCCCACCCCAGATGCCGCGTCTGTGGCTCGATTACTGCCAGTTCCTGATGGACCAGGGCCGGGTCACGCACACGCGCCGCACCTTCGATCGGGCGCTGCGGGCGCTCCCCATCACGCAGCACTCGAGGATCTGGCCCCTGTACCTGCGTTTTCTGCGCTCGCATCCGCTGCCCGAGACGGCCGTGCGGGGCTACCGGCGTTTCCTCAAGGTGAGCGGGGCCGGGGGCTGGAGTGATAGCGGATAGGGCGTCTGCCTTGCACGCGGCCGATCCGGGTTTGATTCCCAGCATCCCATAGGGTCCCCTGAGTACCGCCAGGGGTAACTCCTGAGTGCAGAGCCAGGAGTAACCCCTGTGCATTGCCGGGTGTGACCCAAAACGCAAAAAAAAAAAAAAAAAGTGAATGGGGACTTGGACTGGGCTCTAGCTGTCCCCGTCTGCCGGCCGGGTACTGGGGTGAATCAGAGTCCCCGATGCCACCATGCCAGGCTGGGAGACGGGCGGGAAGGCGCAGGGCCAGGCTGGGTCAGCCCAGGCTACCCCTCGACCCTGACTGGGGTGCGGCCGCGCCCTCCCCAGCTGAGCCCCGAGAGCGCCGAGGAATACATCGAATACCTGAAGTCCAGCGACCGGCTGGACGAGGCGGCACAGCGCCTGGCCACGGTGGTCAACGACGAACGATTCGTGTCCAAGGCTGGCAAGTCTAATTACCAGGTGGGCTGCGGGGGGGGTGGGGAAGCCCCGCCATCACCGCCTCCCCTCTGCTGCCCCCCCGACGGGCCCGTGACCGTGACCAGGTCTTCACCCCCCCCACCCCCCACAGCTCTGGCACGAGCTCTGCGACCTCATCTCCCAGAACCCCGACAAGGTGCAGTCCCTGAACGTGGACGCCATCATCCGCGGCGGCCTCACCCGCTTCACTGACCAGCTGGGCAAGCTCTGGCGCTCGCTGGCCGATTACTACATCCGAAGCGGCCACTTCGAGAAGGTGCGGGACTGCGGGCTGAGCCGGTCCGTCCCCCTGGGACGCAGAGGGGGGCCTCCGAGACCCAGCGTGCTCTGTGTGCAGGAGGAGGCCCGGGTCCTGTCCCCGGCGCCACTGGGGGACCCTTCGCTTCCCCTCAAGGCCTTTACAGGAAGGTGCAGGGTCCCAGACAGTCCCCTTGGGGTCAGCCCTGGGGTCACTGTCCCTGGCTACATGCCTGGAACTCCCACATCTCGGGACCCTCCTGCCTTCCTCCCTCCCTCCCCGTCCCCCCTTCCCCTGCAGTGCTCGCTGAGTCCTGCTACTGTTCAAGGATCACTCCTGGTGGGGCTCCGGAGACCCTGTGGGGTGCCTGGGATCAAACTCGGGTTAGCCGTGTGCAAGCCAGCGCCCTCCCTGCTGTGCCGCCCCCTCCCACCTCCACCCTCGGGGTGTCTTTCTTCTCAAACTAGGGGTGCCTGTGTCTATCACAGGCGCCGCCCACCCCCACGTGGGGTGACTTGGCGCCTGGTTAGGGAGTGGCGGGTCGGGGTGCTTGGGGGTGCCCTCGGGGCTGTTGGGGCCAGATTGGAGGACGTGGGCGCAGAGAGCAGTAGGGTGAGGGGTTCGGGGGGACCGGGGATGGCCTGGGCAGCTGCCTGGTCTGGAGAACCCCCTCGGGCCACCGCGGGGGAGACCAGCTGAGCTCAGGGCGGGGGTTCGGCGGGGTGGGTGTGGGCTGGGGTGGGGATCCAACCGGCCCGGTCCCCGCAGGCCCGGGACGTTTACGAGGAGGCCGTCCGCACCGTGATGACCGTGCGCGACTTCACCCAAGTGTTCGACAGCTACGCGCAGTTCGAGGAGAGCATGATCGCGGCCAAGATGGAGACGGCGTCGGAGCTGGGCCGGGAGGAGGAAGGTGGGCGCGGGGCCGGGGCCGGGGTCCGAGTGGCCTGGTGGGCCTCCAACGGCCAGGGCGGATCTGAGGGCCGTGGGGTGGGGTGGGGGAAGCGGGGACCGAGCTGAGCAGGAAGGGGGCGGGAAGGGGGGGGCCGCGACCTCACCGGCCGCTCCCACCGCAGATGACGTGGACTTGGAGCTGCGCCTTGCCCGCTTCGAGCAGCTCATCAGCCGGCGGCCCCTGCTGCTCAACAGCGTCCTGCTGCGCCAGAACCCGCACCACGTGCACGAGTGGCACAAGCGCGTGGCCCTGCACGAGGGCCGCCCCCGCGAGGTGCCCCCTCCCCGCCCCTGTCCCGCCGCCTCCCCTCCCCCCCGTCCCATCTTCCCCGTGCCTGACCCAGTTCCTCCCCTCAGATCATCAACACCTACACGGAGGCCGTGCAGACCGTCGACCCCTTCAAGGCCACGGGCAAGCCGCACACGCTGTGGGTCGCCTTTGCCAAGTTCTACGAGGACAACGGGCAGCTGGACGACGTGAGTGCCCGCCGGGGCATGCCTGTGTTTATACGTGTGTGTGTGTCCGTGTCTGTGTCCATGTGTCCGAATGT